TTTTATAAATTTAAAGTTTTTTTATATAACTAAATGCCCTAATTATGTAAAATGTAAAAGTAGTTATAGACATTATAGTTATTATTAAATATTTTATTTATAGCTTTAAAGCACTAAAAAAATATTCAAATCTAATAAATAATATGTACAAGTGTACAACCATTGTCATCAATTTCAACCACTCACTTTCAGTCTTGTAAAATACTTATTCGAATAAGTAACTATTTGAATACTTTTTTTATTTAAATATTATTTTAAATACTTTTCAAAAAAAGTTATATTAAATTTATATTATTTCATTAATTTAACCTTGTTTCACTTGTAATGAATGCTCATTTTGGCAATTTTTATAAATATTTAATGTAATATAAATCAAAGTGTGCATTCGTTTAAATTTAAATACGATTAATTTCTTGCGAACATTCTCTAGCTGTGAAATCACCCTAAAAAATATTTTTTTTCAAATCTAAAAAATAAATGTCAAAACAAATTTCTCTAGTCAATTTATTTGCTTAATATTTTATATTAATAGCACTGCTATTTAATAAACTATAAATAACATACATTTTTCATATTTCTAAATAATTTAATACGTTAAATTACACACGTTAATTTCCAATCATGCCAATGTTGTCAAGTTTTTTTAAGTATTCGAATATGTAAATGGATATTTTACTCCGAATAGAAAGTAAATTTATTCATTTTAAGACTGCGAGCTATGCTCTGAATAGATTTTCGGATGTTGGATATAATATAGTTTATCGTTGTTTTCAAAAAATAGTTAAAAATTTAATGTAAAATTTATATTACTAACGAATGCAGAATAAAAATGATTCATTATTATTTGTTGCATTCATATTTAAAATGTAATATAATATCACTTTGCGATACAAGTAAGTATACTCTCTGTACCCATTTTTTTTCTTATCTTTATTGTTGGCTAATAGATAGAAATATAAAACAGAAATAATGATTATTCATTTCTGTTTTTAAGCAGAGAATAGTCGATAGTGTGTTCTGTATAATATTATTTGTTATATTTGGAATAGACACACATCGTCTTAGAACATAATATTATTATAGTGTTAGATTAAAACGGTTATTATTGTGAATATGTCGTAATAAGTAATGACTAACAAGTAATAACATAGTTAACATACTGCAATAGATAACAACGGTTTAATACTATATATATAAATGCTGATAACAGTAATTAATTCCAGAGTAAAAACCTATAAACTTCATTAGTCATCTAGAATATAATTACCTATAATAACTATAAATATTTGTCGTGATAATGTGTATATATGAATATATTGACGCCAACATACTACAAATGTTCATTCTAAAATATCCTACTAGCAGATAGTGATTCTTAACGTTGTTTGCTTACCATTCAATTCAAATAATTATCGTCTAATATTCGAGTGCGTAGAAATACTTTAACCCATGTATAAATTATTATTATAAATACGTCTTTATCCTATGGTTTATGACCTATGTATATTTTTGTATATATTATTTATATACAATATTTTTATTGTTATTGTTATTAATAATAACAATAAATATTTATTAATTAGTTTCATGATCATGAATCAAACACTATTGTATATAATAAATAAAAATAATTACGAACACTGAAATACGTCATAAATAGCACTTAATTACCAACATAAAACGTAAAATTAGTATCACAATAATTTATAAATAAAAACGGTATAATTATTGATTGTTGTTGTTATTATGTTATTGTTTCCCATTATAAAGCTTAGGTAAGTACGTAATGTTTTTTACACGATTATAAATGGTAAATAATTTTTTTTTTTTATCTCATAGATGTCCTTCTTATGTGCAAGATACTTACTACTTTATGCGTTTAATGTTTACCGTAATAAATATTAAGTAAATATACGCCGTTATTTATAAAGTAGTAAATACGCAATAATAAATTATGATAAATATTATTGTAGTTCTATAACCTGAGTATCACTTGTATCGGCTGTATCTTTTTACCCATACGAATTCTGACAATAATTGTACTTATAAAATAAAATAGAAAATATTTAGCCCTTATCCGTTTAAAAATTAAAAATGTATAATAAATTATATTATTAGTGAAAATATTTTTTACTAGTTGTATATAAAAATATAGTATAGGAGGATAGAGAAAGTGATACCATCCTACCTCTCAAATAATTTACCAATAATAAATGTATAGATGTAAGCAATATAATATGGTTGAGTTTGAAGTTTTGTAGAAATATAAAATTAATGAAAATATATCAAGTTAATACTATCAATATTTTATATTATTATAATAAGAATAAAGAAAAACTTTAAGAGTAGCTACCGACTACATTATAAATATTTCATAGTTAATAACTATTCAGTATTTAGTCATTACATAAAATACACACGGAGAATAAAATTCAAGCTCAAGTATAACGATTAAAAAAAATGAAAATATTTTACTATTCAATCAATTTAAAAGTCTCTAAGACAAGGCAAATACATTTTCCCAAAGAAACAGCTGATACTCCTATCATAACATACGCAGTCGTGGTCGTCTCCTTAATTTTTTTTTCAATCGCGTAACCGATAGAGTAATTATACAACGTTTAGGTATTATTTCCTTTTTCCTCTATGTAGGGACGTCATCTTAATCTTTTACATTATTAAACAAGTTTGAAGATTAATTTATCTTGAAGAAGCTATAAGTAATTTTTTATGAGGCTAAATCCCCCAATTTCCCACTTGAAAATCTTATAGATAAAAACCCTTTAAAACCATATGTCCAAGTAATGTAACAACTATTCTGAATGAATATTTTTGGTTAATCAGTTATTATTCCAATATTTATTAACATTTACATTACTTTAAAAATGAATCTCAGTAATTAATTTAGTATATTATACATGTATATATTATTATACAATTTTCGGATGAATTATTTTTTGTAACACTACATTGTGTAATATAAATACGATTGTTTTTAAACAAAATTGAAATTAATATTAGTTGAAGTAGCTATTTATTGAATAAAACTTAATTTAAAATTCAAATAATAGATTCTTACTTTAGAAGAATACCTTTATTGACTAATACATCTAAAAGTTCACTATATTATACTCATATTTCATATCATATTATATTGTATTGTTATAATAAATATATCACTATATTATTAGGTATATAGGACTACAAGCATAAAATACACTTATTGGTATAGACGCAGTCAGGTGGGTACTTGAATGACGTACAAAAATATTTTAGATTGATTTATTTTTATACGATTCAATAACAAAACAATAGTTTTATTTTTATTTTGTATAAATATTTTATTATTTACAAATAAATAAATATAAGTAATAAAAAAAAAACTATCGATATATAATTATTGTATTATATTAAAATTATAACTATTGACCTTAGCCCGATTTATTCTTACTATGATATTATAATTTGCTTTTAGAACATTTATTATAGTCTATTACTAATAAGTTATTAGTAATAACATTGCAACTAATGTATCCTAAATGTATTTATTAAATATTTTATGTACGGATTTTTAAATATTTTGAGTATTTATTGTTTATTGTTTTTTTATATTTATTGTATTTTGTATTATGATTTTATTTTATTCGTAGATGTCATATTATTATGTAAAAGTAATATTCATAACATTCATAACCATGAAAAGTGCTAATAACAGGTTAATGAACATTTAATCATATTCAATATTTGAGTTCATCTTGACTGTGATAATGTGATGTAACAGATTTCATAACGATTTTCAAGTTCAACTTGTCCGTCCTTACACCACTCCTTTCGTTTAATATGAGTAACGTTTACATTTTAAATAGCTATTAAATGTTATTAACACATAATGTTAAACGTAGTTGAGTTGCAGTCATTGGGTATTACACGAAAAATTGTATTCTGTATAGGTATACTAGGTTTGAAGTTCAAACATTTAAATTTTTAGTGTTGAGATATCCAAAAATGTCTTAAGTTTTCGATTCTTGAATAAGCTAGCGTAGTCGCGTAGAAATAATATACAAATAGATAGTTGGGGGAACCTTCGCTTCATAAACGACTAAACAAATCTAAAAATATAGTTCATTATTACCAAGTATACGATGTTGCTGTATTCTGAGTTTTGGTCAGAACTAGCTGCAGCATAATAGATTACACATTTTGTATTATATTAATTTAATTTCAAGCTAATTAAAATGTTGTGTGGTTTCTGTATTATACAAAAAAAAAAAAAAAATTGTAGATTGTGTAATAATAAAATTGTGGCAATAATATATCACTTAACGACTTGACTCATTATGTACAACTTGTATTTTCTATTATTATTACTGCCTACTGGCCAAAAACTAAATCAAAATATGCTGAATGTACTATGTTATGTGCACGTATTAAAAGCTAAGGCCTTAGCTAGACCACAAAAATAGAACAAATGATAAAATAAATTAATGATGTATTTGATATCTTTGTAGAAGAAACTTTTAAATTTTTTTTTTGTCAATGTAATACAAGTATTGAAGTATATATATTATATATATATATACATTATACTTAATTTCACGTTTTTATTTAAAATTAATTGATGATCACTTGACAAATTACTGGAAAACATACACAGTAGGTACCTCTATTACTTGTTTTAATTTATTTATACATGCGTAATAACGAGCGTTTTAAAAGATATATTAAATTTAACAAGTTTTCCCTAAAATTGATACAAAAAATCGATTATTTCGATATATACTTCTACTTTTTATTAGCAAAAAATCACGATATCTAGCCTATTGCATAGTACTAAGTACTAACTTTATAGTACGGTTATATAAATAGAAATAATTTTTATATATTATACCTTCTTACTTTAACTAATTATTTCAGACTACTTAATTAAGTTATTATTAATATATTAATGTAATAAAATATACCCAAATAAATTTTAATTATGCTCATTATGTGTGTTTTAGGTAAGAAACAAAATGAGATATTTTTGTCTAACACAATTCAAGGATTGTTTTTCGCAAGTCCGCCAATGGCTGTATTAAGCAGTTCAAATGAATTGTGCAAAAATCACAGCCAAATATATTTAAGAGAGTTGGAAAAATTAACGACGTGGGCATTAACTAGTAAGTGAAATTATTACTTTAAAAATTGTTTGCCAGATGAAAAGTTTTTGAAAATAAAATGTATTAGATTGAATAATTATATAAGTACCATATCAATATAATAATCATTATCCTATTAATTTTATGACTGCAGGAATTCGATAATGGGTGTTCGAAAAATAGCTTTGGAACGCCTGCGTCATATTTATGCGTGGACATAATAATTATTTAAATTTCGTCATTTTAAGTTTATTTAATGATTATAAATTATAATGTTATGTGATGTGTTGGACAGCTCATACATGAGACTATTGAAATTATTTAAATGTTGTTTTGTTATTTAATTCACTGATGCAGCGTCATAGCGTGGTTTAAGTAAAAATAAATACATAGTTTTTTATTATAAATTCGGATATGTTTTTGAATATATTGATCACTATTGCTTTGGTTAATGTAGGTTAAGTTAGTAGGTACCAAACTTTTAAGTAGGAACATTTTAAGTAATATTTTCGTTCATAAATTTGTGAATGTGTTGAAAGTTTAAATATATATATATATAGACGAAACAATATATCCTACACACTACACAGCAGCTTCAATTTTAGTACTCAATAATACAAACATAAAATATATAATTACCTATATAAATACTTTATACTATAATAGACAATATTATAATCCGTTTACTTTTTCCCAAATGTTTTTACTGTTTCTGCTCACGCGTTGACAACTATGAAAATCTAAAATATTTTGTACCTACCTACACTATTCATTAATTGATAACTGTTATTCTCTAATAGGAACATATACAGAATAATATTAAAATAATATTATAGTTTTCAAGTTTTTTTTTTTGATAGGTATCTACCTCTTTTTTCGACGAGTGAATAATGAATATTAAAGAACTTATTAACAATAACATTCCAAAATATTCACTACCTACCTATTAGGTATTAATTACATTTATTATGAAAATAAAGTACACATTTTTTAAATTATCACATAATTAATTTAATCTAAATATTTTTAAACAATATTTGTTCTTAAATTAAAAGGCACAAACATTTTTATTCAGCGTATTTTGTACATTATGTAAGTTATCACTTACATAATAAGCACATAAAATATAAGCGCATGCATATTTTGATATTTCTCTTAGCCTTTAGGTATACGTCAAATCGTTTGTTTTAATGTTGTACAAATTACTTTGATATAGGCAGTGAAGTAGGTAGCTAAAATTTGTATAAGCTTTATCTTGGTACCTTTTTATTATATCGGACAGAATTTGCAAAACAACTCGGTATTAGAGTGTGGCAACATGCATTTTATACTGTTGTTTTTTTTTATTCAAGTTCGACCTATTACACTGCATTATTACGCAATACTCTGTGTACACCTGTGTATATATTATGCATCATATATACCTTATGTAGGTACCTAAATATTTCTACCGGTTCTAAGCTAGCTGGCAACTATTAAAATTCAATATACACCGTTAAGCGGTATAGCATGTGCCTATACGTATAGTGTATACTGCATATTATATAATTCTTAGAAAACCTTCATGCTATCTGAGTGTTTTGCAAATTATGCTAAATACAAAAAGTACATTACATAGTGACATAATTTCAATATTTATTATGGAAAAACAACGACCAACCTAATGGCCATAAAAACATTTTTACATTTATTCATAAAGCGATTGTTTCGTTCACAGATTTAAACAAATTGTTAATGTTACAATGCGTGTACCAGTATAGCATTGTAAGACATCACTTATTATTTTATAAAATTACACTTAAAGTATATTACTCATGGGAAAATTCCTATATTATTAAACACTTAAAAAAAGTGTTTATAACTAATCTATGAACAAATTGTTCATCAAACCTTGCGGTATAAACAAAAAAATTAAAATGTATAACAATAATCGTCTCAAGCATCGAAACTAATACTTTTTACCATGTTATTAATATTATAATGTACAATTTGTCCACTGATGTGAATAAAAAATAAAAATAGCCTTGAGAAATTGCGAACATAATAATGATAATAAATATTTATACAATATTATGTCACTTGGTACCACAGATCAATTTCTATCATTGTAAAACTATAAGTTCTACGCCTTTGAAATTCAACATTGTTTAGGCATGTTCCGAAGTGCATAGTTTACATCGAGTGACAGTAAAATATTTAAATTATCGTTGCTATATTTTTCACATTCAAGTGTTTGACTGTAAATGAGTGTGAGTATTAATATCTGTTTTTGATTGCAGTGTATGATTCTTCGGCAAAAATACCATCGGGCATTCTGAACGGAAATGTAAACCAGTTCGGAGACTTCGATCAGTGTTTAAGAGTAAACGATGAAAACTTAGGAATTAAAGGACAATATTGTTTAACGTACGTGGAAATTACGTTACCAACAAATGCCAACCAAAAATTAAAATACATAGTTGATCTTATGCATTCCCATTCAGCTTTTCGTAGTCGATTAGAAGACGTAAGTATAGATTATTATTTATTTATAACTTATGAATATAGGAACAAAATGTTGTCGTGTAATGTGTCTTTTATTATGTGAAAAATGTACATAATAAATATATTTTTAATGTATTCCATTTTAAGATAGATAACGTCCAAAGTTTAAACACTTATTTCCAATAAGTATTTATATATAAAATATGTTACAATGTTACATACAATTTTTTATAATTACTATTGTAATATTCGAGCCATCTCATTATTTTTTTCTATTTAATATTCATATACGAGTATTAGGTACATATCTCGATCATAATTCATGACTATAAATGTTAGGTATTACATTCGAGTTGAAAGTCATGTCATAATTGATAACCCGATATTATTGTTTGTTTTTTTTTTTATTAATATTACGTTAACGTATTATAATTCGAATTTTATGCTCATATAATTTAGTGAAGTTTTACGTGTGTTTTCATATCTTTGAAAAGTACTTTATTGAAAAATAAATAAAAATATGTATGCTACACGATTAATTACTGGTACTTATTCCAATAGACAATAATAGTATACAATAGATGTGATTAAATTATTTTTTGATACAAGTAATTCAACTTATCTAAGAAATAGGGTTTTTCAATCATAAAATCTACCATCATACCTTATATTTAGAGGTCGAAATAATAATCTTTTATAAATTTTTTTTTTGAGTCTATGCAGTCAAATTTGGGTTTGAAATCTGTAAAAATTATGAATCATATAATTCAATGAAAAAAGTTTTTTTTGCATATTTGAGAATATTTTTAGATAAGAAAATGTTTCATATAAAAAAGAATATTTGTAGAGAATATATAGATTAATTTTATAGAATTTGGATATTTTGTGTTGTAGAGACAACAATTATTAATAATATTAAATAAGTTTTTAGTCCGTTATTATTGAGATAACTATAAATGGAATAATAATATGGAATGAGTTAATAAAATGTTAAGTTAAAATTTTTTTAAAGCTAAATTATAAGGTATTTATCTATAATTGATTATTTAAATAAATAAATAAAAAAAAATATTTCATTAAATATATATAATTATGTACCTTTATAATAGACCTTTATGTACTCGTACTAATTAGATTGTATTTTTTTTAAATATTAAAGCATATTTTGAGTTTAAGAGAATATATTACTGTAAAAGCATATTTTTTGCATATTTAACTACAGTTTTTAAAGAATATTATCAATTTTTTTAGAGAAATATTAGCATCTTATTTTGGTTATTTTAAGAGAATATTATTCCGACCTCTACTTATATTAAAACGTTATATGATAAAACAGATTTTACACAAAAAATTGTTATTGAATGATATAAATTACGATATTATAACAAAATTAAAGAAAAAAATATTCATTTTTTGAAATTGAAAAAATAGATCGAAGGTTTTATCTAGAGGTAGACATTGATATATCTTGAATAGTTAGAGTTGTATCGAAATACTTGTACTTGGATACTTTTTTGGTACCATATTCATTACATGTCAAAATTTTTACATGCACTTATATTGTGTATGTGTGCATTTCAATCAGAAAAATATGAAAATTAAATTTTTTAAATACATTTACAGAAATTATTTAACAAAATACAAAAAAAATTAAATATTTTCATTATAAATTTTAATAATATTATTATGTTTATTGAATATATAATATAAGCTACTATTCGACTTTTATTTTCTATATTTTTTTCTTTTATTGACGAGTATTTTGAGTGCATTTTTTTTTTTACAGTCGAGGATCGAGAGATTAGACACCTATGGTTATGCCTGTAGATTTTATAATTTAATTAATAGTATAACAAAGCTTCAGGGATAAACACTTGTGAGTGATTATTAGATTTAAATAAACACGAAAAGTTTATTTAGAGTATATAAGTAGAATGACTACAAAAATATAAAAACGTGATTTGGCGCTATTTTGTAGTACATATTATGCATCTACTAATGTTTCTACAGGTAGTGCAAACGATTTACGGTTACTATACTGCTAACATTAAATACGTAATAATATTATAATGTCATAAATATACTCATGAACACTACCATATTTTAGTGTGTCAAGTACACGGATCTAATAATAATCGTAATATGGTAATACTAGGTAGGTTCGTTTATACTATATACTTATAAAGTATGTCTACGTAATTGAATGTAAACGCATTGAATATCGAACAATTCAAAATCGACAAGCGACCATGAAAATATACGAAAAGGAAATAGTGTCATTGGTGGTGGTATAAACGTTTTAAGAATACCTAACACAAAGTATGATAGTATTATATCTTAAAGCTTAATAATTATGATGGGAAGTCAATGTACTATGGTTTATGGTCCATGAATGACAAAATTTTATGTTAAACCAGTTAATTCGATTTTGTTTATATTACCTATATATTGAGATTTGAGGATCACGATATAAATTATCCAAAAAGGATCGTTATTATTGTTTTCTTTTGCTCATAACGTATTGTTGTCATTTATTCATTCAATTTACATATTACACCAGAACTTTAGTAGTCACAGGTACGCAGGTAGGAACATTTTATAATAAGGTCAAAATCTTAAAATTAATTTTTTTTTTACAATTTTTATTTATTATATAAATTTATTTATATTATATATAGTTTATAAAAATCCGTATAGTAAATACGTATGATTCGAGAAATTTAAAAAATTTAAAAAAACTGAGGGAGCCAGCTCAGTGCTACTGATTTTTCTTAAACACTCTAAACTCCAACTTATCAACGAATCTAAATATGCATTAGTCTTCTATAATTAATGTACTGATCAAAATAATTATTATGTTTCGAGCAGTTAGGCTGACAAGTAAAACTTAGATCGAAAAATAAAAAAGGTATTTAGTTGTTGAGAATAATTGTTTTTCATTTTAATTCGTCGTGAATTTTTTTATGTTGTGTTTTTCAGATCTAGGCTTCTATCATTTTAAACATAAATAGCGAGAATAGAGCTTAACCCATTGAAATATCAATACAAAAAAATAAATATTATTTTTAAACGGGTGGTGTTGGCACAACGTACGTCGTTTTCGATACACATAAAAGAAATGTTAGTGTTCAAACAATTTATTATTTTTCCAACAAAACTTTTCATGTTTAATATATTTTTTCTTTAAATATTTATAAAAAGTATCAATGTAGTAAATTAACAATGTACTTCCTTATTAAATTACTTTTTATTTAATATTAATTCTTAAAATTTATATTTTTTTGTCATTTATGGGTATACCAATATATTATCTAGAAACATTTATTTCTATACCTATGCATCTATTTATGTTTCTGCTCCAACCAGCTCTATGTACTATAGAAGCTAACAACAAAATATTTTACATGAAATATTTCAGATTTAAAAACACTCATAAATAATACACATTTAATGATTTTGGTGAAAAATTTTCTATTTTCCTGAATTTTAATAATGATTAAAATGCTCATATTTATTCAATAACGTTTAATTCAATTTTCACACATGCATTCAATAATAGTTAAAATAAGTACACATATATATATATATTGCTCTCCACCTGTTATTTCCTTCGTCATTAATTGCATCTACAAAGCTGGCTTCCTCATATAAATTGTAATTATGATAAGAAAAAAAAAATGTTACTATGTATTTATATTTAATTATGTTTTTAATTTTTATTTTGTTTTTAAATTTTTTATAAACATTTTTATGTATTTTTGTTTCACTTATTTGTAATTGTTGTGCTGTAATGTTTCAAATAAAAGCACTAAAAAAAAAAGTACACACATTAATTTTCTTGAATCAAAATTGATTAAAATTATTTAGTAGATGATTTTTTAGCAAACATTAAAACTTTTTTTCATATTGAGGGTGATAATGGCGATAACAATTATTCTATTACTGAACTTAATAATATCTATCTGAACACAACATGTGTACATTCTACCACACTATCGTATACAGCCGCCGTAATTAATCGCTAACATTATAGATGTATGTAAGCTATTTTTACCATTTTAACTGATTTTACTTTTATTTTGTGTATAGCATGCAGTGTTATAATATTATTTAATTTACATATAGTGCCTAGCATATTATATAGGTATACGCCGCAGACTCGGCAGTAGTCACTTTATAATTTATTTAGTGCATAGTTGGTAGGTATTCGAAGTGTACATTTATGATCTGGCTATCTATTTGTTTTGTAGATGTTGTACCTACTTTTTTTTTTCATTGCTTGTTTTCTATTTATTTTCTACATATTTACAATTTTGCTGATGTCCGAAATGTGTGCCACAATTCAAACGTATCCATATACCTACATTATAATATCTCATATATATAAATAATACACGGTACATATCTGATAAATTTGTAATATCATGTAAAATATTTCATTTTAATGCGTTTTAGAGCATATACACTCATAAATTACGAAGTGTATGTGTACGCGACGTGTGCAGCGTGTGTTATACAGACACCCGGAAGTCGAAAACTTGTGATTGTATACTTTTATTATTTTGTGAAAATGCCGTTTGTCTGGGCAGAACATATTATTTTACTGCAAGAAAAAAATTGTTTATCTTGATATAGCTGCGTAATGTACATACCAAATCATAGTAATACTTGCCATTATAAAATATTAATTTAGCTGTAACCTGTAAGTACCTAATTACATGTATATTATACACATAGTCTTTGACAAACATTACTAAAATAAAATTTAGCATGATATTATACAAAGTGACGTACCTACACCAGCTTCTGTCATCGTATACTGAAATGGCCAATAATAGATGTTTATCGAGAATAATTAAATATTTTAAAAATAATGAAGTTACATCGGTATGATATACAGCTTTGTTTGTCTACGGTTATTTCGTCAGTCACGTTTTATAAGATAAAAATCTTAAATCACAGCAGTCATATTTTATTTTTATAATAAGTAATAAAAATATTATTCATGTTAATATAGCTGTTATTTTTAATTGGTATGCCCATGCCCAGTGCGAACTACTTATATAATTTAAACGGTTAAATCAACGTTTTTTTTTTAACGATTTTTAATAATAATATTATACAGTCAAAATAAATGACTATCGATAACCGATCGTCGTGGTAGTTATTTAACAGTCAACGGGTGTTGTCTACTAAATTATTAAGTGACAGTCGTCTTACTGGACCTGCCAATTGGAATATAGGGACTCTACCAAAATAGTATATTGTATGGCAAAGGCAGGAAGTGAGCTATTTCAGTCACATTTGACGTGTTACATACGATCCGAAGGCGAGTAAAGCTACATAGTATATTACGTCCGACGAAATTAATTTTAAAACATAAACGCGTCAATGAATATGACTACGGAAATAAGAAAAAGAAAAAAAAGTTTAAAAATACTGTTTATTCAATAATATTCTTGAAAAAACAATTAAATAATGTCCATGTCTTATACCCACGTGATTTAAATAAAAATTAAATTTGTTTCATAACTTACATACAAAAAACAATTAATAGCCCAATTGAAATTCTCAAAACTATATAAAAATGTTTCTTCTTATTGTATTCTATTGTTTAATAAATAGTTTATTTAAACGGACTAGTAACACTGGTTTAAACTTCAAGTTGATAAAAAAATTTAACAAATTATATTCAAATGCAATAAAAATGTGTTTTAAGTTTGAATTCTGCTTTCTTGGATTAACTGCATTTTTTATGGGTGCGAAGAAAAATATAGATAAATGTCCAGAGAAAACATTTACCTACCTATAAATTATAATTGACCTTTTGAAAATAAAATGCGTCACGGTAATTGCAGTAATCTATAATCTGTATTATTTTGATGTATTTATAATTTAGAAAATCGACTAAAAGGAACCTTCAAAAATGCTGAGTAATAAGTAGTTAGATATCTAATCAGGAGTTCATAATATAGTTAACGATTTTTTGATTTCTTTCAAACAAAATGTACTCTATCAAGGAATCGTAATTAATTTTAGGTTTTTTGAGGTCGATCTACGTGAGTATAATTCGAAAAAGTTCTTATTGTTGTGGCTCAACAATAGGTATTTATGTATAATATATATAATGATATAATGAGAGTTATAACACTCTTAATAAAATAACCATTCGTCACTGCAGTCACTTCCTATAATTTAACTAGGTGTGATTCTAATTCTCATAAAAGTCTTGCTTTAAAATTAAAGTAACTTCAAGGCAATTTGAACCAATTAGATGTTTTCCAGTATCCGGTGTTATATAGGAAGATAATTATTACTTTTCCACTCGTAGAACATACAGAAAATGAGCAAGGCTGTGTAGGCAATTTTTATTTTAACAACCCATTACACAATACATATACCTCATAAGAGCTTGGATGTTTATGACCTTAAAAACTCTAAAAAAGAACAAGCAAATATGCCCAAAATTATTAAAGTATGCCCTAATTTCTTAAAGTATGCTCTGATTTCTTAAAACCATTAAGTGTATGTATATAATATTATTAAATACGCTAAAAAATTGTATTATTCATTGTTTGTTAAAAATATAGCTTATATATAGGTACATTTTAAAAATAGATTAACAGAATAAAGTAGAAATACGCACGTTTCATATACACACAAGCTATGGTACCAACAATAAAAACTATCTATGAGTTGTTTATGTATATATATTGGTAAAATCGTTTATAATACGCTTTTGTGTAGTGTAAACCAATATGTATTTGTGGTTAATTTAATAATTACCTATAAAACATATTTGATATTATTAAGAATAGTGAAAAGAAATGAATAAAATATTATAATTTATTAATAATTATCAATAAATATAAATTATAACCAATGTAAGGGTATAATAATATGTATAGGTATGTAACTCTGAAAATTATGTACTATATAACTGATAAGTTGCACATTCCTCATTAGTCATTACTAATAGTTTTTGCCCCTTGATGTTCTGATAATAAGCAATATTCTAATATACCTAAGCATATTAAAATGCAACTAAGTATACTTGACTTGGTATTTACATATCAATGAGATATTTATCATTAATAAATCATTTATTTTAATTTTTTGATTTACTCGAACATACATTTGTTTTTCAGCCTGGCCATCGTGTCCCAAGGTTTTCCACCATAAACTGGGCTGTTTGCGCACCAGCAAGCTGTTCTCCAGCTGATATAGAACACGAAATGTACTTATTGCTGTCAAAGTATGTAGACACGACCGAACTAAATTTACGTCTCAAAGTTGATCCGGAAATGTGTCAGACGTTTAGACCATCTATTGTGCCGACAACGGGTTCATTAATCGCAATGTAAGTCCAAAATACGAAAACAACTTGTACATTTTTTATTTTCTTAATTAATTTTAAACTATTTTAAACTAGTATTCATTTTAAAATGGAGACTATATGTTTTATTATATTCTATCATTAAATTGTATTAACTAAAATTGGCTTATTATCTTTCTCTGATAATTGATTGCATAACTTTAGAGCTTAGATTTTAATCGTATACCTAATGTATACAAAAATATTTGATTAATAACTAATTTTATTTACTATAAATAACTTACTAAAAATCATATAAACTTATTATAATTATTTAAGTTATTGCGAACAACTGTGTATTTTGACAACTGAGTACTATTAATTATCTAAAATTATCTATATACATAAACATATATTTAAAAAAAATGTTGTATCTAAAGTATATTTTTTTCTAAATTTTATAATTTTTCAAAACTTGAAATTCTCAATTATGGCTTTTAAAAACGTACACAAATCGGTTAGCCTATGTTTGTGTTATAGATATAAATTGTCGTTTAATAATTGCAACGAAAAACGTGTGCCCATATTATATTTATTTAATTACAGGTCGATCTTTGGAACTTTGATTGTGATCATAATGTTGTCTACTATTATGGACAAATACAATATGTTCCTGAATCAAGAAAGTGAGTGTACCATGTGGTCGATGTAATACGCCATTATTATTTATTATTGATTGATATTGACTGAATTTTTACGTAATTTTTTCAGCAAACTTGTTCAAAGTACTACACTCGTTTTCATTGATAAGAAATGTTCGGCAACTGTTGAGCGTTAATGAGTCACCTGAAGACATAAGGTCAGTTCACGGGATCCGTGCGCTGAATGCTTTCATGCTGCTAGCGTCCCATAAATCGATGGCGATGTTCTTTAACCCTTATTCAAACAGAACTGCCATGACTGAGGTAATGATTATATTATGTATTTATAATTAATGAATTTATAAAAGGATACGTACATGACGATTATTGGTTCATGATTATTCGTAATTCACTAACGAAGGTTTAATTTATTTATTTTTTGGAAGTTATTATTATTATTATTTTTTTTTTAAGTGAAAGCTTATGTCCTTGTTTAAAAGAGCAAACAGGTTCATTATCCAAGAATCTGAATCTGCTCACACTATCCTATTCATTTTTAATATTTTTGTTCTATAATAATATAACTGTTATCAGTTATGGAATTGTATGCATATAAAACAAATAAATTAAATTATATAAATAATAATAAATAAGCATAATATTTCTATGCAACAGTAAAAAATAAAAATGTTGACCTTTTTATTAAATTAGCTTAATTATAATAAAAAAAAAAAAAAAAAATGGTTTTTTTCTGTGATAAGACAGATACATAATAATAAGGTAATAATTAATTATAGTTAGATGAAAAAAAAAGGCAAATAGATAATAATTAATGATTATAAAAACAAAATTAAATGGACCTAAACGAACGACTAATATTGTACATTTTAAACTTATTCTGTATAGGTACCTACTAATATTTCTTTATTGTTGTCATGATATTTTCCGGTATCACCTGTCAACAATGATGACGTACTAATATTATTTAATGCTGCTGTTTGTAAATTCGAACGTGAGATAATGTAAGGGGAAATAACCGAAACAATTTCAGTATAAGTATACATGTATGCATCGGCATAATGAATCACCAGGAAAAGCGCTTTTTTATAATTGTGATCACGACGGTTTGATGATTTCACCTTGGCCCGTCGTTCTGCGTTTTGCGTCGTATCAAGTGTATACTTAACTTTAAATAGAATAACCCCCGAACGACCATTGTGATTCTATAGTCGTGTCATTATTGTTATAATATAAACAATTAAATAGTTAATAAATATCATTATTTTTGTAATTTAATAATTTACAAAAACATCTCAAAGTTAATTTTTTTATTGTCCGTCAAGTTTACATGTAATTTCCACGTAAACAGAATTATCAAATACATGCAAGCGTATGTGTTATGATTTATTGCGTAAGTTGTTGTGAAAAATAAAGAGAAACAAATGTAAAATGATAATAAATTCTTAAAAAAATTACATTGGTTAAAACTAACTAGGTACGTATTTAAAGTTAAAAGACAAAACACATAGGGGTGCTTAAATTAAAGTCCACACTTGTAATAAGTTAAGTATGGTTTGGAACATAGCAATATTGGTAGGCGTTGCATAATTAGTAAAATATACTAATATTAAAATACAAATAAAATATTTTATTTTGCTTATTTTTAATTTTTTTTTCACAAAATCATTAAAAACATAATAATGTTGAATTTTATTGAATGCTTAAAAATTTAAGATATCAATTAAAAGTCAATTAAAAATTTTAGTTTTATTGTTTCAAAAATATTTCATAATTTTTTAGAATATCGCATGTAAAAATTAGGTTTTTTTATTTATTAATATTTAAATAAATACCATTAGTTTATATATTAATTCACCACTAGTTAACCTAGATATTTTTTTTCGTGTAACATTGAAAATGTATTTATTTGAAAAAAATCTTGAGAATATTTTTTGTTTATTGTGTAAGTACCTATACAATTACAATTTTGAGGGTGTGTTTTTTTAACTGATCATCAACTACAATATAATAACACAACTATTAACAGCAAAAGTATGTATATGATTTTAAATTTTACAATTTATGAAAATGCTTCATATATTATAGCGATCATGGATAAATTATTTACATTTAGGATAAGCTAAATATTAGTTGAGAGATAACTTTAAAAATCTTCTTTTTTGAGAGGGTAATTCTACGAAAGGATTGTAATGGACTAATGAGTAATAAAACAATCTCATAAAAGAAAAAAAGCAAGGGATGAAGAATTAAGAAAAAGATGATAGTGTCAGAATACTCAGAAACAAAGATGAATAATAATAGAACTACTTACTTAAATATTATAAGGCAGTCTTGACAAAGCATAAGTAGAACCATGAGTAAGAAGGTATCATGAAGGTGCATATTTTATGTCAAAAGGTACAAATAAAGAGATGCAAGAACCACTTAGATTTTCAATATTTTCAAGAGTAAAACAGAATGAGGTGGAGAAGGAATTTGGAAAGAGGAAAAATGAATAATTGATCTAGACATTTAGTTACTTGATTTTAGTATAATATGAGACAAGACAATCCTTAGATACATCGATAGTCAGTAATATCGACATACTTGAGACCCGAAATTTGGATAATAGAAAAATGTTAGAACCACAATAGTATTATAACAGCTATAACTTAAACTATAATATAGTTTTTTTTTTTATATATTATATAAAATTTAGTTAATATTTTTTATGATAACTGAAAATTCACCGTTAAAATACTTAATCTTTAAATCATCTATCCTAAGTGTGATATATAATACCATTCGATAAAAAATTAATTTAAAATGTAATCTTTATCACATACCTGTATTATTTTCTGTAATCTGTTTTAGCATCTCGGAAAGCAATGGACAGTTATTGCGCGAGCTGCAAGCCTATATACAGATCCCTTCATATTCATGAGTGGATTATTGACTACCATTTCGTTCTTAAAGCATTTAGATCGAAAGGGCACTATTGACTTGCCCAAAGAATTAATTTCTAGGTTTGCCAGGTACGTACGCCACTAGAAATATAATAAGTACAACAATGCCTGATTTACTCGGGAATCTATTTAAGTCATAAATTAATAAGTTAAATTATCAACAATAATATGTCTATATCCAGAGCGGACAAAGTTTAATACATTTAAGTATTTATGGAATTATTTAAACCAAGTAGGCGTTATTTAGATAAATCAATGCTATTTCTTATGCAATGTTAGTAAAATAATAAATTATGTAAAAAATATTACTTACAAATTTTATTTTCATGTTTTGATTTTCATACTTATTACATTAACTTTAATTTTGTAATTGTATTTAAAGAATCCTTGTGAAACTACAAATTTGGAACTGCTGACTCCTGCAGGAAACTTATTTAATTATTAAAATACTTTTTCAATTTTTCATTGATTTACACCTACGAAAGTGTGAAATCGTGTTGTTCGCAATGAATATGATAAAATTGAAATAGATTTATAACCCAAGAATACACAGATTATAATATTATTATTTATTACTTATTGTATGTAAATCGATTAGTTTCTTTTCTTAACTTAAATGCAAAAATGATAAAATAATCGAATTTTGCAAACAAATAAATTCCTTTTCAGTACATATTTTATTGTTTTTTAGCGCATTAAGTTCCGATTTCCGAACACTAGTTTAATCGATATAACTTATATTAAAAAATTATACTAATTAGTAATTAACTTGCTAATATATTGTTATATACAATGTAAGCTACCAACTTTGAGATTTTCGTTGAACTGCATTTTAAATGTACTCGTCACTCGTACATGTATGAAATTCGATCCCTCACATTACCTAGCCCGGAAGGATAACTCAGATAATAGTTTATAGTATTATCTTCAAAAATATACATTATAAAAAATATTTTTCTTTCAAATTGAAAAATATATTATGTGATTATAATGTGTTATTAGTGGTGAGGAAGATATTTTCAAAATTCCTTGAGAAAATAATATTCTCATGACTAACATGTTACACGATTGTAAGAACATAACAGATTTATTCATAAACGTGACTACATTACATAATTTTAAAGTTATACATTAGGAAAGGAAATATTTGTTATGATAAAGAATGTTTAAATTTTGACATTTTATCGATTTTCTTTAGTAACATTTGTTTATTATAATTACATTCCTAACTGATCGAAAAATTAACATTTATCTTTTAATCAGATATTATTTTATATTTTTTGTACATTTAATTGTATATTTTTTTACTCCCCTTGCAATCTAAAATATTTATTTTTCTGATGAAAATAGATGTTTCTTCTTATTAGTGGAGGGATGTGAATATTTAAGCCGCTTCAACGTCACAGTTTTTTGTTGTCGTATCTATAATTTTCTGGATTAATTAAATCTTTAAAAAAATATATTTATAGACAATTTCAAAAAATAAATAATTTTTGAAAAAATATTCTTAATTTTTTTTTATCTCTTATTATAGAAGTGTGAAGCTGTGCTTCACTTATTATCTCGCTCAATGATCCGTCACTAACACTGTGTGTTCATCGAAATCTATATTTATTTCTCTTATATAATAAAACACGAATTTTATGTAAACCGTTATTATATTTATTATTTATCATTTGATGCAGACTGGTGCCGACGATGGGTGCCATAATATTATTCTGCACATTGATCTTACCAAATTTGGGCTCTGGCCCGCAATGGAATTTAGTGGTTAAACACCATGCCGACATATGCGAAAAAACGTGGTGGAGAAATTTCCTATTCATCCACAATTACTTTGGCTTCAAAAATATGGTAATTATAAACAAGGATGCATGTACTATACCTAATTATAAAAGTAATATACTCTCTAATAAAAAGTTAAAAATATTATTTATAATATTATATTTATATATATATATATATTATTTATCATCTATACAGCGATTTGAACTATTGTGTCTAAAATATAAATATCATTGACTAGTAAAAAATAAACCATGTTATGCTCTAAGTAATGTAATTTAATGAGAATCAGATAATATTACTAGGCACTTTATAAACTTCCCCTAAATATTATATCATATTACAAAATGATTTGTACACAGTGCGTGTATAGTTAAAAAAAAACAGGTCAGATAAGTAGGTAAATGATAATTATTTTGTCAAACTTTAGGTTTGGTTAAGGGTATTCTTGCTATGCAAAATAAACTTTTTTTAAAATTGATGCATACAACTGTAAATTGTGACAAAAAATAAATAAATATATTAACTGCGATCATTTTTTGATAGGTATATATCATACAATATATTTGGTAATTAATTTTAAAAAAAAAATTTATGAATAATATGTTGTAAAAAAATATATTTTATGACTATAATGTAAGTATCTATAACTATAATAAATTAAAATTTATCACAACATTATTTCTAATTTTTTCAGTAGCATTTTCAGGATTTTCTTATACTATTTCTTACAGCCAAAAGTTCAATTTCAGGATCTGGTTCATAAATTATGATTATGGAGGCATCAAAAATATTTTTTTGATTTAAAATATTATTTTGACATAAATTTTTTTCTAAGTACCTACTTACCCGTGTTTTATTACCATAATTTTTGCTTTATAATACATTTTAAATTTTAAATTGTTTTATGCTAATCATTGTTTGCGTTTCTGGCTAAATATAAATATAAATTTTATATAAAATAAAATGTATTTAAGAAAACTTTAACTTTTATTGTTAATTTTAAGCACAAAAACACGTTTAATTTATTGGTATGAGCATGGCCACGCATTTTTTTTTTATTTACATCAAACACTACAATTATTAAAGTACCAATACTTAAAATTTCGTTTGGAATCAGAAATATCTCCAAATTATGAAAAAAAATAATAGCAGTTAATATAATATATCTTATCTGTTTTATAGCAGGTTTTATTAAATTTATTTATCTTTTTTACACAGCTTACACATGTCATTTCATAAAAATCATAACTTAATCATAGTTTATACAATCTCGCTTTAGTTATTGAATATTTTATTTTTTTTGTATTATTTTTACTAAATTTCTAATTTAATTTTTCTATCTATTATTATTATAATTGCTCAAGTTTTTACTTTTTTAAAATACACAAACATTTTTCATTTAATATTCCTAGATAGAATATTTTTCTAAAGTTTAAAAATCGAACATCGATTCAGTATTCAATAAATAATCAGTTATTTGTTAGTAAATTTGTTTACAACATAACGCAACAAATTGTTGATAAAGTTATAAGAGAGAAACACTTTAAGTTAATTACACACCAAAAGAGCAAATAACTGTGTTTATCATTATTAATTATTATTTTTTTTTTAAACAATTTGTTTTTGTAAACTCAGACATATAATATACTTTGTACATTATAGTTGTATTTATGCTATTTGTGAGGAAACTTTGAAGATATTTTATTCTTGACATAAGCGTCATAACACTTATAATTCATAAGCTACAAATATCAAGTCATTAGACGAAAAAAATAATGTAATTAAGAATTATATACTGTTTATAGGACAATGTAATTTTACGAAAATAACGTAATAACTAATAAGTCTTTTTAAATAAAAAAACAGACGAGTTTCGTGCAACGATTAAAATCATTTAATATTGTTTTTATGTTGCAGAATTTATTTAAGTACTCATAAGTAATTTCAGAATATTTTTTTTAAATTTTGATAGATTTTATCGTTAAATATTACTTAATAGCTGATAATTCTATTAATCAAACACGTTTTATAATTAACTAATTGGTATTTAAATTATATATTGGAACAATAATATTTAATTATGTATTTTTTTTTTCATATATATATAAATTACACGCTATAAATAATTTTTCGACGTAATTTAAGTATTTTATATTGAGTTTAAATTATTATGAGTAACTATTATGACGCAATTAATATAAAGTATATTTTAGTATTTATAGTGCAATGACTTTTCTGCTCTAATTATTTAAAAGTATGCTAACGCTTTCATGTTTTATTCTTATACCAGATGTTGTTAAATCAATAAAAGTATACACGTACAGGTTGACAGAACCGTTAATTGAAAACAAGTAGGTACTTACATGGTTATGTTATCACCATAATTCATAAACGTATTTGATTTTTAACAAACAAGATAAATTCACGAATAACAATCATCCTTACGTGTGCTCTTTTTATACCATATTGTATAAGTGTACTTAACTTAAAATAGTGGTTGAAGTGCATCCAACAAAACATTATTTTTGTATGCCGTCAAAGCATCATATACCTAAGTGCCTATATTAAATTTGTAGTTGTTTTGATTGTATTAATTGTGTATACTTAAAAAAAGTGTTGATTAAATTTTTCTAAAACCGAAAATTAACTATATATTTTACTATTTGTATAGGATCCCTTATTTTTTAACTAACTATTGTAACGACTTGATCACAAATTTATATGTATTTTGTAGTATTATTTTTTTGAAAATTTTAATATAATTATAACATAAAATTAATGTTCTTCAAAGTGGGTGTAGACTATGGAATATACGTATAATATATATTGTGTAAAAGTATTTTTACACTGACCAGTTGTGCTTAAGCATTTTCCAATATGAATCAATAATAATTTAAATCAAAATAAATGACTGTACACATTATAAATTATTAAGGTCAAATAGTATTATAAATAACATTAAACTCTAAAAAATATTGTAAAAAATTTTTTTTATTAACACTCATTAGTCAATACGGTACGGTATTACCTACGGACATACCAGGATGACTTAGAAATACAGTCCACAGATATAGACAATATTATTGTCATGGGAACATTATAATTTTTTTCTTATAGGGGAAGTGTTTTTGTGCAAATTTTAGAGTAATGTCAACACTTCTTCGCTCTGCATGTGTATATAATATCTGCATGATATATTAATATATTATATTATACTTAATATTATTAATATTAACATATTTGTATACATTTAATATAACATGCTTAACGTGTATTTTGCAGTGTTTGTCCCATACGCATCATATTGGAATTGACACGCAGCTGTTCATGATATCGCCGTTGCTCGTGTGGACACTGTGGAAGTGGCCTAGAAAAAGCATGGTGGCGCTTGTAGGGCTAGCGACCATCTCAACTTTACTTCGATATTATGTGACGTTAACGAAAAAATTGAACTTGTTTATCAATTTTGGAAGCTCGTAAATCATTTTTTTATTAATTTATATACATTTTTGCTATCGTTATATCATTATTAGATGTGGGTTTGTGTATACAGCTGGAAAAGTTAATGAAACGAAATTAATTGAGTTAGTCAAAATTATAATAGTTATAAATTAACGTTATAAAACCATAAAGGTTATAGATTTATAGGTCAAAAAATTAATATATTCTATTCTTAAAATTGTATGTTAATATAGATAAAAATATTAACATAACTCAGTTAAAAAAAGTTAATTGAGGTTTATTAATTACTACCTCAGTTATACACGTAGCGATTGCGTGTAACTTTCAACAGGTAAATTTTACATAATTAATCGTGGTTCCTAATTGCAACACCAGCAAATTATTTATATTTATGAAAACCACTGTTTCTTTCAACAGTCATCACGATTTGAGAAAATAAAAACACATTTTTTAAATGCATGGTTGTTGTAATAAAACCTGGAGATATCCTAAATACATAATTTATAAATAATTTTTGATGAAATGTTTGAGTACTTAGTAAAATATTGGGAAAGAATGACCCACTTACAAACAATGTCTATTGAAGCTTATGATCAAACTTTGAAAAGTTAATGTAAAATATAAACTAGTTAATGTTATCATTAATTTTCTTAAAATTATCCTGCTCGTTAAATTAATAAGGTAATTATTAAATTACTAATAACTTTTTTATTTATAAAATTAACTTACTTTCCTTGTGTTCTACATTTATTTATTAAAATATGTAGTATTATATCCTATAGATTATTACAGGAATGTATAATGAATTTTGAAGTAAAATCTTGAACTAAAATAATGTTCAAAATAATAAAAAAAAAACAAAATTAAGATTAAATCATTCTAACAAATTACAAATTCTTTATTAAATACATTTTCATTTATACATTTCGAATTTTAAACGAATCATAGGTATAATATATTATATTATTAACCTTACCCTATAGGGTAATTATATTTCTAGAAAAGTTAAAATTTTACTTATGATTATTGATTAAATGTACTAAAGCTAAAAAAAATAAAAAAAAAATACTAAAATAAATGTTGTGTATACGTATATTTTAATTTGGTATTTCTACAATTTGTGCAAACTTATGCACCCTATAGAAATATGCTCTCTTTCGCTTATAAGCCCAACTCTGAATAATATATATACTATATATAATGTAGATAATTATTAAAATTTGTTATATTAATAAATGATTCTTTTTTGTCACGTTTATAGAGTTTCACAAATGTACGATACAGCTGATTATTCCTACATATTGCCCACTCACAGATTGACTGTGTACATTATGGGCATTCTATTGGGATATTGCCTGCGCTACGTAGGAAGAAATTACCCGTTGAAGAGTGTAAGTCTAATTTTTTTTTTTTGTATTTTCATATTCTATAAATAATGATTTACTCGACTTGTTGATCGCTGTGTTGTAGTGAGTAATGACCGCTAAGATTACTGTAATTGATCATTAAATAATAATGTTTTAGTTATTTAATTTTTTTTTTCAAACGATTTAACTTTATAAAACATATTCCTATGTTGCTCTAACAATGTACATACAATATGATTAAAAATATAGAATTAGAAATTATAGTGTTATTAGGTCGGTACTATAATTATGGGAGTAATATATAAGGCTGTGAATTTAATGCATTAAAACACCTTAAAAATGCACTTTAATTTCGAGAAAAATAGGTAAAATGCATAAGTAGTATACTTAAGAATTATAATTTAAATAATATAAAAATCTAGTTAGCGTAAAATATTTTGTGTTAAAAATTATATTTGTTATTAAGTAGGACGTGAGTTCAAAATGTGTACAATATTTATAAGAAAATTTCATATGTTTTAAATTTTTTTATTGATGGAAATTATGAAAAGTAATAAAAATAAAAAAGTTCTAAAAAGGCCAAAAAATATCTAATAAATCAAAGGTGCCTAAATTATAGTCTCAAAATGTAATTCATTAGTAACTAATTCAAACTTTGTGTTAGTAAAACTATTTGTTACAATAAAATAAAAATACTATTTTTTTTTATAAATTTATCGCAATAGTAGATTGATACTTATACTGTCATCTTAGTATGACCATTGTAACTTCGATGGTATTAATAACTATTCATTTTTCGAATGTCTTTGTCAGTGATCTATTGCAATAACAAAAAATAATATTATACCTATTTTTGTTTTTAATTTAATAATTTTAATTCCGTGAATTGCGACGAGGAATAAGTACCTAAAAAAATATGTGTAAACGCAAACGTGTTAATGTTCATTCAATTATGTAATAATAATATTTTTAATTATTGTTAAAACTTAAAACTATTATAAAATATCCCATTTTGATGTAAATTTACAGAAAACAATGAAGTGCAATTTTAGACTAAAGTTTTAAAAAATCGGAATTATTAAGTATACTTATATATTTTTTATTTCATATTAAGTAGATGTATTATTGTTATTGAACGGAGTCGCTTAAAAGCTTAAACATAATCTTTACCTTGTGTGTGTTTAGCTGAAAATCTATAGAAACTTAGAGATTGCGAAGATTATTATTTTTATTAGAAACAAAATAATATTAAACGTTTCTTCCTTTAGGGCCAACTCAAGTTGGGATGGATTATCGCAATTGTATTCTTCTACGAAGCATTCATACACCCGTCCAAAATGGGTGACATCGATTATGTATATAATGCCAGCGATGCCGCCAATTATGCGGCATTCGCACCAATATATTGGTGCATATTTTTCAGTTGGATTATATTCGTTTCGTACACAGGCAATGGAGGTATGTCATTATCTGAATTAATAATAATAATGACAATGCGGCTAAGTAAAGTTCTGTGATATGCACGGCTAAGGGAGGGGTCGAAAACTGTTATGATCGCCAAAGTTATCTAGTTCACTAGGAATTTTCATGAAATATTTAATTTTAGACTACAATAATGAATCATAAATAATAAAACTATAATTTTTGTCTGCATCAGCGACTCCTCTGCACAGAGCAATTATATAACGTAGCCGACACTTGTTATCTTTAATAATTTTGTATTTTTACATTTTTTAAAAGTAAATTAAATTAGTTTTGGGATTTTTCAGTACAACTTTTCATTTTTATTTCGATGGTATGGTACCTACCATGATTCTCACGAACACCTAGTGTTACAGCACTAGAAGTGTGAAAACATGTTTTTACAGTCAATTTTTTTTTTCTTTCGTGACGACCTATCAGTGAAAACGTCACACATGTCATTTACAAAATAAAAAAGCGAAAGTTAAAAGAGTTGTTTATTCGTCGATCTTTAAAAGTTTAAACAAGTGGATAGTGCATAACTACACGTTGTTTCCTGATATACGCCTATCTCATCGCTTGACAATTCGTGTCTGAAACATGATCGTTATTAATAAAAAATGTTAGGTTTTTAGCATTGGAATTATAATTTTCTTCAGATTATGAAATTAAATATATATCAAAGTACACATAAAAATCAAAAATGTGTAGAAATAGTTTCACTTACAAACATAATAATGAGTTAGGAGTAAAAACTAAATACGTACAATACTTTTCAAAACAACAATAACAGTTTTCACTTCTAAATAAATCACTCGCTGCGCATAACAATCAATAATAATTTAGTGACTATAAGTGGCTATAAAACATTTATGCTTTAGAAATTTGAATACTATTTTATATTATTGCAGATTTTTTTCATTAACTTATATCTTTAATGTTACGATCGTCAATTAGCTGAACTAGAACACTTTGGCAAATTAAATATTTTGATGTATAATATTTATACAATTTTTTTGTAAAAATATGCTAAGTTATTGTAATAAATAAATTTATACAAAGTCATATTTTTCGAAAATATTAACATTGACTTAAACAAAACTAAAATAACCGTTTACATGCATCGCTTATGTGTCTTTTAATTAATATCATGCTCGCAGCTCGCTTGTTTTTAACAACCTGTGGGTTGTAATGAGTCAGAAAAAAATATATATATTCGTAACCGAACTACCTTATGCTATTTTTTTTCATAATCGTTTAATTTGACTTAAGTATTGTATTTAATTCGGTTGTGGGTGTATAAAAATACGTAAATTATTATTTGAATTCGGTTTTTTAAATAATAATCCAATTCACGTTTGGACTTAACAATTTTCAGTATTGCTGTGGTATCATAACTAATAATAATTAGTAACTACCGACTATTTTTGTTCATTTTAAATATGTTTTTTTAAAGCTTGTAATAATTAGACTACGTACACTGATAAATTATTTTTGTATCAACTTTAACCCTTTGAATATTTTCATACCTTACTCATAACATTTTTGGAAGTAAGTCATAAAGGCGGCCGCTACAAAAAAAAATGGAATTAGATTAAACTGTGGTTATTGTAATTCCTAATTAGTGACTATTTATATAAATACGTAATATAATGTTATAAATATTTTTATTAAAAAAAGGATAGTTATGAATAATATTATTGTCTTCTTTCTCTTCGTATCTTTTGCTTATTCTATATTTTTTAATTTTTTAACTTAGCCCTTTATATTTTAATATATTGTTATATATATACATGATATAAATAAATGTATAAAACATTATGTAATCAATACTCCTTAATAACTTATAAATTATAATGAAAAAATAATTAAAAATGTTTTCTAAATATTAATTAGTGATCGTTTTATCTAAAATATTCATCTTAATTTTTGTCCAAATAAAATCAACTTTAGTTGTAACTTGTATCCAAGGTATTTTAGGTATTTTATAATTGGGTAGTTAATAATTATGCAATTTTTCTTTTGGCGTTAGCATATTTAGTAGCGCAGCTCAAAGTCTATCAGATTATTTTATTGACAAATTCGTAATATTTAGTTTTTTTCTTCGTGCCTATAGCCGATGTTTAATTTACAAATAGTTATTTTAGATGTATAATAATTTCATTACATTTTACTCATATTTCATTATTATTATATATATTTATATATTTTAGGTGTCGTATCGTCGATGTTTTCTTGGAAAGGATTTATTGTGTGCACGCGTCTGTCTTATACATTTTATTTGACACAGTTTCCTGTATTTTTCTATAACGTCGGAACTCATCGTTCTGCGTTGGAATACAGTTTTGGATTGATCGTAAGTATAATAAATTATATTATTTGCCTAAAATAGCTGTGTAGCCTACTAGCCTAATTTATCAAATATTTACTTCCATTTCCTAACCATTAGACACCTTACGTGCTTGATATTCGTTTATCCATTTAAAATTTAGTTGTCGAAAATATGTGAACCTCTGTGTAGTGATGTATCTTTGTTTGCGAGCAGTTAAAAATCATAAAATTGATAAAAAATAATAACAGAATACTTTGTACATGTGATTAGATACTCTAATAAATGGAGATCGTAGAGAGAGGGACTAACAGTTATGTTTCAATCTACATCCCATCATTCTCCAAAGTAATCAAAGTTGTTTATTTGTTCAGAAAACTTGAATCGATCAATAATAGTAGAAACAAATAAAAGTTTATTAAGCTTACCACAACAAATTATGATATGATAGGTAACACACTTTTCCTAATCAAACTTATAATATTTTTGAAATAGTTATGTTTAAATACTGGAAAGAAAAATTATTTATAAATTCAAATACATACGTATCTAAATTAAAAATATGTTTCAAATACTTCTAAATAGTTATTTGTCTGTCAGGAATATTTAGAGCAGACATTTGTCTAGGTGAATTATTTATTTCTTTACATAGTTATGTAGGTATAACAGTACAAATAATTGTATATATTTGTATATATATATATATATATATAAATATATATATATATATCATGATTAAGCATTTTTTTTTTTAATTTGTTGAAATAAAATAAATATAAACATTTTCGTAAAATTCGGAAAACTAGAATACTTTTGCTTTCTTTATTTTGAAATACAATATCGCAAAATAAATATTGAAATTATATTTAAATACTTAACTATACCAACTACTTGGGAAAAATAATAAAAAGCCACTCGAGTAAGGCAGAAAGAAATATTTGAAACTATTAGAATAGCTATTTTAAAAAAAAAATTTAACAGTCAACTTGTGACATTTAAGTCAGATTTGTAAATTATAACGGTTCGAAGTTAAGAACGGAGACCCATGTTATGTACAGCATTTAACGGCCATGATTTTGCTGTTTTTTTTTTTTTTTGCTACATCAAAATTTGTATTAAACAAGACATCTATTTCGATCCGAAAAACCTGAATATTTTAAATTGACAATAGCTCGTTTTGCATACTCAACCAGACGCGAGATTTATAGTATACATTCGCATAAATTGCTCATATAATGTTATGCGCACCTACTACCTACATCAATAATTTAATTTCATATGAAAAAAATAACTACAGATTTATTTCCAAATTTTCATTGACAACAACATTATACATTTATGTATTTGTGATTTGTGTACAAACTACAAAGCAACAATGAACAAAAATGATAATAATAATAATAATAATAATAAAACAGTTTTGTAGTCTACCGAATAACAATAGGCAATAGGTACCTAAACGTTTATGCAAATTAAGACTTCATTTTGAATTTATGACGGTCGCGACTTATATCAGATTCGCGTCTGGACACACTAATTGTTATTATTATGATTTTGTGATTTATGAATAATATGAAATCGATCGTTGCGCAAAATCGATCGAAATACACAGACCTGCGGCGGGCACACTTAAACCTATATCGTTCCAATATAACACAGTTGCGGGTGTAGGTGGTATTGTACGCATATGTCGGATGATAATATATTGTGTACACACGGTATGATAATATTTATTCAAATATACGCACAATAACAGTATCGTTCATGACGATATAATCGGCCTTAACGAAATTTCGCAGTTATAAAAACGAAATTTATTCGCAAGGTCCCACAGCTAATGTTGGCGTAAGCGTGCAGTGCGCTTATTCAATAAAGGTATCTATGCGTATACCTATAGGTAATACATAATATACAAGACTGCAATCGCGCTTTGGGTACGTTTACCGAGATTCTTAAACCGACTCCTAACCCGTCAGTGGTACGTTCATACACCGAGTACGGAGTAGAAGTATATGTTTACCTACATTATATTATAGACAAAAAACAAAAAATGCCTAAATTATATGAATTAATTAGAGTGCGGATTTGAATACTTACACAATAAACTACATGTCAACAAATAACCGTAAATGCGTTTTTAACGCGACGTCTTTAAAAAATGACAAAAATGCACACACCAACGCGCTAGCGATATTAAAACGACGGTTCGACTTGACTTAGTATCAAAAGGGGGTAATAAAGGCGGTATTAAACCTTTACACATTATTATATCGTAAACATTTTAATTAATACTTTGTTTAATGAAGATTACTACCATAACTCCCTACAGGCTGCAGACTACCTTCTGTTGATAATATTTTATAATTCATAACGATTCACTTTTTTTTTTTTCAAGTGTAATCTTTCATTTTTTGTCAACTGAATTATTAAATGATTAAAACGGATATTTCTAAACGTAACTAAAATTATGTTGAAAATCGTTAAATGTTATTTTTACAAACTAAAACATAAAATCACTATTAAGTTTTAATTTTACTCATTAGATATTAATTTTTTATATTGCGGATCCCAGGAGGCGGCTAAAAAGGAACTGGTGCCGTGACTTGCTAGGAAATGACTAATAATAAAAAAAAATTAAAAAAAAAATATAAAGATTATTTTTTTTTCTGACGAATGAAGTTTGAATACCGATATTATAATTCACAATTTTTAAATCTACCATCTCGTGCTAGGTACCCATAAAACTTAAGTCGAATAAAATGATATCTTATAACACCTACATTGTGTAACGATATCTTGTTATTTTTTTATACGTTATCTTGTGTTTAACATTTTTTTTTCCATTTCGTTTCTAAATCTTCAATCGTCTTATCAGGTATAACATTTAAATTCCGAGGAAAATTCCCTTGTCTTGTTCTTGTCTGCCCCATCCCCGTTCCCCTCAACGATAAAATACCACTGCAGAGCGCAGCGCACGGTCAACCACCGCTTAAAATCTCCAAACTAACAATTAGTATTCCCTCCACGCGATATTATATCAGAGTATATTTTCATCGACGGCGTGCGTTTTTGTCACAGATAAACATTAAGGAGATCCTGGCCATCATCATGGTGTCCGTGGTGCTCACCTTAGCCGTCGAGATGCCGTTCAACAACATCAGAACGTCGTTCGTGAAGAAGTCCAGGCGCGAGATGGAAGCGCCGGCCGCCGCCGTGCTAACCGCAGAGGGCGGCGACACAGAATCGCGTCGCAACCGATAAGATTATTCCTCCTTCACGAGGGCACAATATTATATTATTAATCATTATTATCCATCATCTTGGTCATCGATCACATCATTCATCACACATGCGCCGTACACACACCGTTAAGCTCAAAATTTCCATTTAGCGTCATAGGTTCTAAAACGAACAGGTCCACTCACTTTACACGTGACACGTGCAAGCGGCGGATATTTTGAAAACCTCAGACCGTCTAGTTTTCAGACCGCGCGAAGAGTCTAACCACTCGCGTGATCGATTCACAAATTTGCCCATTGTTTTAACATAATATTTAATAGACTGAACCCACGAGCAATGCAATCGAATTTCTCTGCGCCGTTCGTAGTAAATTTTAATATCGATGAATAGATTATAGCGTACAAAAAAATGTTGAGCTCAATAATTTTATTATTATTGTTTATTATTATTTATTTTTTTTTTTTTTAACATTACACTTGCCATTTTTACAAACTGGTGTACTTATAGATTTTAATATTACGTGTACATATCATTCAGTGTAGAATTAGTAATTTATCATTAATATTGTTATTATAATCATTATCATCGTCAACGCAATAAATAATTAATGAGCTTATGATAATGAAGTTCTAAATGCATAATATTTATTTATTTTTAGTATGTTAATTTTGGGTGTTATAAAAATATAACCATTATGCGTTAAGCCTATTGATACATCATGTACTATATTATTATATTATTAAATTTGTAGTTTTTAATAATAATAAAAAAAACAAATTAAAAATGTATACCGTTGAACAATTATTGTACAATTTCCTTTAGGAATTTCAATTTTAAAAACCATTTTGTAACGTGTTTGAAAATTGTTATTACTACTAGCCTAGCACATACACATAATCTGTAAACAAAGGCTTCTGTATTAATTATTATTATAAAAACTGACTGATAATAATATTATATTACTTAGCGAAACACTTTTAGTAAATGTTCCAAAAACAAACAACCATTAAGATATTAGATGCGAAATTAAATCTTTTATTCATATTAAACGATAAGTCTGTATTATTATTAAATTAATTACTTAACAACTTCATACTAATACAGTATTATACCTAGTTATTAAAATATATATTAACTTAAATTATATATTCAAACAATCATTTTTTAAATAACCTTAATACAACAATTAAGTATCAACAATAATTTTTGTAATAAATACATTTTTTTATGACAAACATTGTTTTTATTTAATCTTTGTACAGTAAATTAAATGTTAATAAAATTGCAATTTTTTTCTAATGAAAAAATGAAAAAAAAAAATTACATCCAAATACAAGTTTAAAACTAAATCTAACACAAAATATAAGAAAAATAAAATAAAATCAAAATTAAGCTCAAAATAAATCAAATAATAAAAAAATGTTATATAAATATTATGCTACAAATGAATATATCCTTTTGAACACAATCATAGTAAGTTAACCCAATTATTTAAACAAATAGCCTTCAGTTAGTTTATAATTTCAAAAATGTGTTTCATGTTTTTAAAATTCATAGTTAATTAACAGATAATCGTTTGCAATTTATATTGCATTGTAATGGAGTTAAAAGTAATAATCATAATGATATATATATATATATATATATAAAATGTTGTACAAAAAATATTTAACAATTAATTAAATGCAATTACCATAAATTCTTTGGAATTAGAGAACACTATGGATAGTTTACCCACATGAACTAATGAATACCCTGCAGTTAATTTTATAGACCTTACTGAAATATGGTCTTTAACATCAAATATGTCATAAGAATTTGGATAAGTTGATCGAACTAATAAATATCTATCATTTATAGGTGTTAGAGGTAAAAGATTTGATATTGCATCAATAGCTATTTTTTGTACCACTTCAAATTTGGATAGCATGGACTTTAAGAGGTCATACTGAAATATACTTTGATTAACATTATAATAAATGTGCTTTCGAGTACAGTCAAATGAAAATGTATTACATTCAAGCCAAAATACTTTTAAATATGAATCTATTTTAGTGATAAATGGAGTTGCAGAACCCGTGTTTTCCACGCCAATACAGTTGCTGGTCACCTTGAACTGAGAAACAGGTCCCAACAAGGGTATCTTTAATCTGTTGTCTTGAGTAACTCCTTTCATGTGATAAATAATTGCCAAATGTTCTAGTTTATCATTTTTCTTCTGAAAAGTAAAACATAATAAATGTAAATTTGTTTCTTTTATAAGCTGATTAGTATATGTTATATGTATTCAATACTTAAACTCAACAGTCTAAGGTTTAAATAGTAAATAATTATGATGCTGTACTTTAACATAAACTGTTACCTATTACACATGTTTAAGTTACAGTTGTAGAATTAAATAGTTTTATACAAATTTTACTGAATTCAATTTTTTATTTATTGAAATTTGTTAGGAATTTTACTAGTAAGAAAATGTTTTTATGATTAGATACAACAAAATATTGGAAATTGAGTCAGTGATAACAACAATATTATATAATTTTAAGTTGTAAAATTACTTGTAGACAAACAGTATAATTTAACTAATCCATCATTTTTAAATAAAATTGACATATTATTATAAATAATTAATAAATTTACCATTTTTGTGACTCCAATCATAAGTCTATAATCTGAGCACTTAATGCTATCAACAATGCATTTTTTTGAACTAAATTGCAGTTCTTTGTATGTTTTTTTTGTATTCAAATCAGTTATGAATAATGTACTAGTAGCTGGGTGTACCATTGCTAGCTTATAATCATATAAATCAAGTTTTGTGTCACGATGGTCATTTAAGAAATTGGTGTCAAAATCATCCTCATTTGATCCATAATCATCAGATTTCCGTATCACTTTAAAAAAGCTTTTGGTGAATTCAGTTTTCTTAATTGTATATACAAATATAATTGAACAAATTTCAAATACCAAGTATCTTTTGTTGCCAATTATTTTAAGAGGATTTTTTCTTGATTTAATCAATTCTTTAAACTTATCAAATATTTTCAAAGTTCTTTTATAGATGGGCTTATTTGCTCCGTTTAAAACAATTACATGAATTGGTTGTTTGTTGAAGTAATTTATATTGACTATATAATCATCAGTACAATATGATTGTTCAGTATGTCGACGAGGTATATAAATGGTTGGAAAATCATTGTTTTTTATATTCTTTACAATCATTATATAATGATTAAATGTTAACCAATGATCACATAAAGGCCCAAATAATTTTTCTGAAGATGCTTCAGCATATCCTTTACATTCTGAATCATGTCTTGATCTATCATTTAGACATCGGCTATAATCAATAACTCGTATATTTAAATCTTCACATATCTTTGCCCAAATTTCATTTTGGTTTACATATACACATCTCCAAACCTTACTAACAGATTTCAAGTTCATAACATCATTGAAACTCAATTGTAGGACAATTTTTGTGATGATTTCGAGTGGGAGTTGCTTAAAAATATCATAACTCTCAGATTCAGGGGATCTGAAAAAAAAAAATTAACATTATAATTAGTAGTTGCTTAAAAATTATATAGACAATTAAATTATTAGATACAGTATCATCAATAGCTATTATTAATAATCAAAAACTTTGAATTATGTTATAATTTATTACTCAGAACTGTTTTTTTTATAGTTGATCACTATAAATGGTAAAACATCATATTACAGATAGGTAACACAAGTAAGTTAATCTAAGAGTAATATAATAGTAATACATTTTATTGAGAAATTAAATAGCCATTATTGGTTTTCAATAAGTATTTTAGAAATGCTTAGCAACTTTGAAAATTCTCAGTTAATTTTTAATCCAACATTAAAACAGAAAATATCTAAATAATAATAAAAATAATTATTTTATTTTCAAAGGATTTTATTTAAAAGAAGTAAACTACTATTAAATAGTGACAGTATGTTAAAATGATTCAATTAAAACATCAAGTTAATTTCTATTGCAAAAGAATAGGTATTCATTAATTATTTTTTTATAAATACATATACACTTTTGTTATGTTTTTATAATTTGTCAAAAATAATATGAAATAGAAAAAAATGAATAATTCATAATGATTTGGTAGTCTATAAGTCAGTATTCAATCAATAGATAAAAAAGTATATAATATGTACAGTAGATTCTTCTTAATAGAAATACTAGGTTAATAAAGACCAACTGCTTAATCAAGACAATTCTTCATTCACAAAAATAAATGTATGGGTGTAGTATAAATGTTCATCACGTATCTGTGCCAAGAATTCGAATAATTAGGAAATTTTTATCAAGTAGGTATATTTTATCAATTATGATCAATATTCACGTAATCAAATTAAATTCTTAAATTTATTTGGAAATTTAAATCTTTGGAAACATTGAGAATATTTTTTCTTCAACAAGAAAACCAGGGAATCTTTATTAGTGTTTTGGACAGACTACATTTGTCAACAAATAATAATAACACAATAGGTAATAAACAATTTTTTTTAAACAAAATGAAAATAATAAAAAATATATTATGTACTTAAATAGTGTATAATATCATGTTTTTGTTATAATATTTATGCAAGCAAACAATAATAAAAGTATAAAAATAAAATCATTCATCAACAAATGTGTGTACTTCATTTTTTTATTTTGGATTATTGGAACAAAATAACAGGCAACCAATGTATTCCAGTAAAGTTAAGTTGACTATATTATGTGAAAATTTAAAAGTAATTTTGTTTAAATTATGTAACTAAGTTAATTTTCAAAGAAAATATTAATTTCATAATTATTTTTCCTTCATATGATAATGTACAAATAAATGTTCATGTGATAGAGGAAAGGAAATAATAATTTTCTTTCTACAAATACATGAGATTTAGCTTGTGTCTATAGAAGTTATGGGAGGGATAGAGGAGAGAGAATAACTATGAAATTGTGCAAAGTAATATTGCTTAACCCTTGCATTATGCATATGATGGATGATCTTCATTAAGTACAGAACAAGGATCTCAAGCAAAATTTTTTGATTTGTTTATAAATACTATTGGAATTCAAGTATTATAAATTTCATCTATTTGTTATAATATGCCATATTTATTTTTTAAATAAAAAAAAATGTATGAACAATAAATGAGAATTCTAAAACACTTAATAAATTTTCAATAATTAAAAAGACTTACACTCAATGTCCCATGATGTGAGGCTAAAAATAATAATAATAATATTTAACAGCATTTTTAATGAAATTTATAATATAATTTAAAATTTAATAGAAAAATTTAAAACACAGATGATAGCGAGGATAATAGTGATATAGATGTTAAATAGTATTTTAAATACATGTCTCTCAATTCCACAATGTGTAAAAAGTTAAGCCATCATACTACATAATAATGTAGTTTAAATTTATTATTTAAATGTAAATAAAATTTTAATTTAAAATAGAATCTCAAACATGGAGATATTGATATAATTTTAGAACTCTTATTGGTTTTTTATCCTAATTTCTTTTTAAAAATTAAATAACACATCAATTATTTATAGTTTATAAGCTAGGTTCTATTTTCAATACTACTGTCACTATTTAGGATTTTCAGAACTATCTATTGGTTAATCTTATCACAAGAATATTAATTTACATGATTTCTAATTTATAAAATCATAATACTAGTGTAGTTGGTTGGTAATTGTTCAAATTATATTTTAAAATACATACTATGTAGTAAATTTAAAAAATATTAAAGTACACTAATACTTTTTAGGAATGTTTTACAGCATATTATGTTATAGATATACTCTAAAAACTTAAAAAATGTCCTTAAAATATAAATGCTCGAGAAAGTTGAATTTGTTAAAAAAACTCAAAATTAAAATACTAAAATAATCAGGATCTCTTAAAACGTTGCAAATATAACATTGCATTAAAACTCAGCTTTGCTTATCAGGTGTTGATTCTTTTTTAACAGTTCATAATTATTCAAATACTGTTATTTGATGAATCATTTAGCATGGTTTTTAATACAATTAACATTGCATTCCCAGTTTTAATATTTACAAATCATTGTAAATAGATAAATAAAAATGAATAGCAATAAATATATTGTTATTATTATTTTATTTAACTTAAGAAAAAAACGAACACAAATTATTATTTTAAAGTAATTACAGTCATAACCATTAGTATTAGTAAGTATTTAAGAATCTATATTCTGTATACCTACAATTATACAACTGACTTCAAGTGACTAATAATTGTTTAGTATTGCGAGATAATATACAGCTTAAATATTTTGATTACCTATGTCATTTTGAGTCAAATTAAAATTCATATAGTATTTAATATACTTTAATATATTGAATCAAAATACAAAAAAAAATTGCATTAAATATTACAAAAAATAAAACACTATTTCTATACAAATGATTTAAAAAAAAAAATCATTTACCATGCAATTTTAATGATTTTAAAAATGTAAATAATATTTTTTAATAAAATAAATTGTAATAATTAATGATCTATACTAAAATAGTTGATAACATTTCTAACTTGGCTGAGAGTTTAATATATACCTGTTATTTACAGTAATAGAGATAATTTAATACAAAAAAATAAAAATAAAACTAATTAAACTCTTTTTTAATATGTTAATTAGTAATGAATGAAAAATGACTTACTTCTCAAATTTACTGGGCGACATGCTTTCTGTTTTTACACCACCAATATTCATATTGTCTGATTCAGTTATTGCACAATCAATATTCATATTGTTTGATTTGGTAATCAAGTCATCAATATTCATATTGTCTGATTTGGTATTTACCAATTCAATATTCATGTTGTCTAATTCTTTTTGAACACTATCAATATTCCTATTGTTTGATTATGTTGTTGATCATGGACATTCAGAATAAAATTAATACAGATCTGAAAAAAAAAATACAAAATTAAATTTATTCATTTTTATACCTAAGTACCTATAGGTAATAATTATTGAATACATATTCTATGAAAAAATAACCTCAATTAAACGTAATTATTATGAACATATTATTGGGACAAGACTGAAACAAAATCATAATAATATAAGGTATAGAGTGGTGGAAAAGTCTAGATGGTAAACAATTTACCGTGGAAAAATGGTAAACGTTTTACCGTGTTTTATGCACACAAGACTAATCGAAGACTTGGAATTACAAACGAGGACTGGTGTAAAAGAAAATACAAACCAAAATAGACATCACGAATACCCACACACGACATTATTATTCGTTCTACAATCGAGAACACGGATATGAAGGGCAATCGGCGAAAACTAAAATCACGTCCGACAACAAGAGTGACCAGCAGCTTTCCGAGAGCGAGCACCGACGTGTTTACACACTACCTACTCTCGTGCGGGGGGGAGGGGGCGCAAACAAAAAAACGAAAATCCTCCTACGATCTAAAACATCGATCGGTGTACGTATTACACGAAATCATAATTTTATGGTATTATTACCTGAGGTGTTACCGGAAATAAACGAGAACGCGGTCCGACCGCATATCATCGCCGCAACGCAACGGACACGGAAACCAAGAGCGTACACACGGGCACCGCGACTGCCGTCGACTGATCGCACACGAGCGTGGCGTGTAAGCACCTCTAACAATAATAATAATAATAATAATAATTGCGTTACATCGGCGGCCGATAAGAATATTGTTCGGCGAAACGATCGATAAAAAGTCCAACGACTTGTTGAACACACGGTTTAGGTGCGGTACACGAACGCGAAGAAAATGATATGCGTACGCCGACGAAGACAACGACACCACTACTACCGTCAACGACGACGACGGTGGTAACAACAACAACAACAACAGCAGCAGCAGCAGCAGCGACCGATGACAATAGCGTGCGGCGCGCACGACGATTGTGTCGCGAGGTTACGTACTTAGGTCTGGTGTGTGTGTGTGTGTGTGCGCGAGGTAATCGCGGTCAAACAACACACACAACGGCGGCGATCGAAGCGCGAACGACGACGGACGAAACAAAACAAAAAAAAATAATAATAATAATAATAAAGACGATTGCCGAGCGGTTAGGTCGCGCGTGTGCTGCAAGTTCTGCTGGACGGATCGAGGAAAAAAGAAAGAATGATGGTCGGACCGCACACACTAATACTATAGTAATACTACATCATAATATTATTATTATTATTATTATCGTGAACAACGCGCCACTGGTACGACGAACTCACGGCGCACGGCGACAACGAACGGTAAAATTATTTACATACGCGAGGAGGGAGAGGAATGACGATGACGATGATGACGATGATGATGATAATAATAATAATAAATACGCGTTATCGGGGCTCGGGTCGCGGTGTGGAATTCGTCGAATTCGACGACGGTAATAATAATCACTATTACTGTTTTTGTCAGAGGACCGAACGCAGATTAGAAACGGGTCGCGCGGGCGACGAGAGACGAGAACAACGACATGATAAAATTTCACACGCACTCGAAATTTCGACGTACAGTTTCGGTCGTCGCGAACGACGGAAGCGCTACTGGCGGGTACGGCCCGCGACGTTATCGTCACCGCAATTGGGTTTCTAATGTTTTTATGTTATAAAGGTAGTGTTTTTTTTTGTTTTACGCACTCGCGAGATCGTCAAAAACAAAAATATCGATATCGTAATGAGCGAATCACCGGTTTGGTAGCTTACGATGATTTCCTTTTCACGAACTACGGCGACGACGACAGCCTCGGCGGCTTGGCGAAATATACGACGACCACTGTGTGGAGTTCAAACTCTGAATAGTAACGTGTACAAATGTAAATTTTTAATTCTCAATTAAAATATTAACACGGTTGTTCGCATAAAAAATTCATTAATGGTTTACCAAATATTTAATTATTTGATTACGAACCTCTAATGAATAGTGTTTATGAGTTCACTATTAATTTATTTAATATTTAGTAATACTTAATTTGTCCATATTGTAACTTTGTACTAAAACTGTTCATGTAAATAGGGGAAGTGGCTGATTTATACATTACACGAAGACATGTAAATATGTATTCAAAACAATTATAATTGTTATACATTAGTATAGACAAAAATTGTCTATCATTGATATTATGAAGTTCATAATATAGGTAGATGTCGATTAGAATCATGTGAATTGAAATGACCAATATCATTAAGTTTAATGGAGATATAATTATTTTAATATTATAACTATAAAATTGATAATTTTAAGAAAAAGCATTAAAGCTAGTACTAATTGAATAATTGTTTTTTTTTTTCAAATAACCAAAGAAACAATGTTTCTACACCAAAAAAAAAAACAAAAAATAAATAAATACATTCTTAAAGTTTACTAGTCTTTAAAATTATAAACTGATAAGTAGGGCCTAGATTTAAATGCACTTTAAACCATACAAATATGCTCTAAAAAATAGCCAAAAATGCATTTTTCCACAAAAATGACATATAATTTTTTATACAATTTTTAATTTTTAAATAAGTTTAATTATTTTTTATTATTTTATTAAAAAAAACTAAAAATTTTATTGATGTTGACTCGCATCTGAAAATATTTATTACTTTATTCATTACAATTCTAATCATCAAATCATCACTTTTTATTAATTGTTTATTTATTTAAATTGTCCTAATAATTGACCAATTTCAAGATTAATTTAATTAAATATAATTATAAAAATTATTGAACTTAGTAATTAATTATAAAATAAATGTCAATAATTCCACTGTAATTTTAAATTATCTATAAAATTGTTATAGTTTAAAAAAAATAAGTACCTACAATAATATGACTACACTGCTTTTTTATAATGTAATTTTACACTATTTATATGATAATATAAGTGATGTTTAATAAGTAAACACTATTTTTTCTATGCACTTATTAAACATATTCACCTCTGATCTTTAAATAAATGCTGTACTAGGCAAATAACAAAATTAGTTATTTCTTATCTTTTTGTTTTAACTTCTGTAATTGTTATTTAATTATACATCATAGAATTAGGTATAATAATTACGTGAACATTTATAAAATATTAAAATAAATGATTGTGTTTTATATTTAGAAATTATTTTGAGTCTAAAAGAAAAATAAAAACAATTGGAATATAACAATAGAAAGAATTTATTTATCAAGGGTATTTATCAGCCTTCTACTTAATCCATCTTTATAGTAAGTAGTGTTTTTATTTTGAGAAATTATTTAAATAATTGAAATATAACTTTTTATTTTTAATAGGTCCAAGTTACAGTTCAAAATATAGTTATTTTCAGATTCGGATTAAATTATGATACAGTCATGTTGGTTTTCAGAAGTATCGAGTATAAGCAATGAATATGTTTCAAGTATACAACTGAGGTCTATAATATTTATTTTATTTTTATTGTAGACGATATACTAATAATACTATCATAAAGTATATATTATTTATATAATCTGTGATATCATGTTATTGTACGCGATGATTACTAAGTTGTACTAATTTAAAATTAATATTTTTTATGTTCATTTTTAATATGGTGCTTTAGCTATATCTTCATCTAAAAATGTACATCATAGCAATTTGCGTTCAATAGAACTGATTTGTGTTGTAAGCTTTAATATTAAAGCAAATTGACCTATGATAATACTTAAAGGACATTATGTGTTATTTCTTATCAATTTTTTAAAAATATTTAAAAATTTTAATGAGTTATAAGTATTTTAAAAACGTTTATAACTTGGTTAAAAATTAAAATATTGTAAGAATCTATGAGAGATAACATAATTATATTATAATGTTTTAACCATAAATTCAATTTACACTAATATTAAAGCTAAAAACACAAAATCAGTTATATTGAATGTGAATTTGCTACATTGTATGTTTGTAAGATTGATAAATCACACAAGAGTGTAGCATCCTCTTAATGTATTAAAAAAAATAAAAACAACAAAATTTATAAAATTGGCTAACTGAAATAAAATTACTAAATGTATAAGATTTATAAATAAAATGTTTCCACTCGATTCAACATTATTTAAATTTTAAATTCAGGATACTTATGTAAAGAAAAAAAAAATTATAAACATTTTAAAATAAAAATTAAAAAGCCAAAATGGGATACTCGAACCCAGTTAATAAGAGTATTTGTCACTCTTCACATGACTGATCACAAGATACAGATAGTATTAAAATTTCAATAAACTTATAATACATTTAATAAATTTATCTTATTTGAACAAAAACAATTAAGATTTAGACTTCTGAGTAATAATCAATTTTAAATCATACTAAACAACTTATTTTAAAACTGCACTAAAAATATATTTCCTGATAATTCTTGAGCACTTTTATTCAAAAATGTTCACATAAATTTATAACAATATGTTTGTTTTAAAAGTAATACATTTTTATTTTTATTTTTTTACTTCAGATCAGTATTTAAAACGTGAATTACTAGTAAAATAAAAAATAGAAAATTATAAATAATTTCTTTACAATTTGTCCTTAATAAATTTACTTTAGTTATTGTAAATAGATAAATACTATAATATAATAATAGGTAAACACAAATTAAAGGTTTATTAAAATTGAAAAATGCTAATGCAATAACATTCAAAACTGTTTATGTTGTAATTATTAATTACTTAATCATCATGATATATTTTAAAGTAATTTTATTTTCAGATGCCTCGCAGACAATCAAGAATAAAGTAATGAACTAATTACATTTAATTTCAACATCGGTTTAAAATTGAACTGGCCAATATAGTTAAACAAAAACTATTAATTAATTTTGTGATATTTATTTTTGTTTATCTACAACTCCTGATTATTATTTTTTTAACTGAATCTATCTAAAATTATTGTTAAGTATATTAAAGCTAAAAACAAATATTAATTAGTGTATAACTTAAAATTATAGAAATAACAGATTACAAGTTAATAATAACGTTTAAAAATTAAATTGCTACGATACCTTAAATATTTTCTTTTGTATAATATATACATTTTAACTAAATAATTGGTAATTTTTTTTTCTCCTAAAACTATTTTTAATAATTTATGATTGTGTAATGTTCTCTTAAGAATTTTATTGACTGACTATTTTAGTACTTACAATTGTAAAGTAATAAGTAATAATTAATATTCAATTTATTGGATAATGAACGTTTAATTTATATGATTATATTTTATTATGATACATATTTTAATTTATTATTGTATAAATTAAATTAAGTTTTAAATTATAAGATAAATATAAATTACATTTTTTTGAAAAATACTAGCCTATATTTTCAATGTAATGAGGTGATAATATTTTGTTTTTATATTTAGTAAAAAAAATAAAATAATAGATCAAGAACTTAAAAAACAAAAAATATTTCATAAACATTTTTAAATTTTTTTATGCAAAATAGATAATATTTATATTAAATTTAATATGAATTTTATGCAATTCAAGTTTTGAATGATATTATGATATTAAAATAAATATTAATTAAGTTAAATAAATAAATAATAATTATACAAGTTCACAGATTTTTTAAGTACGGCGGTATATTATTTTATGTGAACACGTGAAATTGAAAACTAATATATATGTTATTATTAGGGAAGTTATGGTATAAAATTTCAACAAAAAAAAGTGTATTTAAATAAACATAAGATTTACATCTATAATTTAAATTCAAAATCATGATTTGATTAATCTTTAAAAAATCTAGAATAACTTGGAAACTGACAAAATATTTTTGGTTTATTATTGGTAAACCAATATAAATTAAGTATTAAACTAATAAATCTAATTTGCTTTGCATTTTATTATTTATTTTTATGCATGAGTATTTAAAAGAATTTTAAAAAGAATACTATTATTTTATAATAGGTATACAAAATAAACTTAAAAATTTTAATTTAATTTTTAAAATTTTATCTGTGGTAAATACTTTAAATGTGTACTGTTTAGTAATGGTATAAATTATTATTTTTAATTTACAAAAATGTCGTAGGTTAGACCCATAAATGATATCACAATTTGATAAAATTAAAATATATTTTATGATTGATACTAATCCTTTTATTATTTAAATCAAACTAGTATCATCATTTTCTTTGAATGATTATATTTTTCGTTATGTCATAAAATGAGAAACGATTAGGTATAGAATTGAATTTGTAATTATATATTTATTTTACTATTTTTTTGTTTATTGCATAGCATATTTAATTAATCCTATAGACATATATTAAAAAACAATTATTATAATTCAAAGACTTGTTATAGAAAATAATAAAAATATAATATCATATACTGTTTCAGAGATTATCTTTTAATAATTTATAATTAAGTCAATTATATGATATTCATTAATATTCAACCATCATTATCAAATAAAAATAAGAATGTTATCATATAATTCAAATAATTTTAACCCGAGAAGACCATGTTATAATTATTGTACATTATGTGATAAATTTTAAACATAAACAAATATAAATTATGTGTTCTAATAACGACTGTATAACTTTAAATGGCTGAAAATGAATTTTTGAATTAAAGATAATTATACATACAAGGCAATTATGACATTCAATTTTATGTAAAATAATAATTTTAAAAATAGTAGATATTTTGTCTAATATAGGAAAAAACATCTATCATATAACATAAAAAAAACAACATAAATTTTACTTGTATAAATGCAGAAACTATGTAAATATTTTAAAAATTAAGTTTTTGCTTCAAATAATAATTTTAATAGTCAATTTTTACATTTTGACAAATAAATAAATGATAGGTTAGCAAAACTAATTTTAAGCCATTGATTAACTTATTCTAAATATCTAGCTATTTTTCAGTTATTTAAAATATTCTTACTTATAAAACTACATTCACATTTAGAAAATATTTTATTTTGAATACCTATATATATTATTAAATATTAAAAATGTATTTGTATAATAAAATCAACGCTAAAATGTTAATTAAAAAGATGTACAATGTAAGTTTTTTAAGTTAAAAATTTAATTTTTTTAGTTTGTTTAAAAAATAATATTTTAAAATAAATTGTTCATAGTATTAACTTTTGTCATAAGTTATTTAGCTATAACCTATATTTTAATTTAAAAACTTATAAAAGTTCTTATAATAAGTAATAAAATAATAATAATGATTATCTACTATAATATTTTATAATAATTGTTTCAATTGTAATAATGTTTTAGTTAAATTTTTAGCAATTTTTATTTTGGCTGTACTAGATTAAGCATGAGCATTGTAAAGCTAATGTTATACATATTATTACACAGTACGATAAATGGTAATCAATGTTATACAGCCTTACTAAAACGTTTAAGAAATTAATGTTAGAGACATATTCAAGTACATTAAGTTTATCTTATATAATTATGTTCCAGATATAGGTATACTATAGTATACACAGTACAAAGATAAATTCCTATTTAACTAGGTTAATTTAGAATCAATATATATACATAAAACATCTAATAATAATATCTACCTAATTTTAATATTATGATCAACACATAATTAATTATTATTATAGATTGGTATTTAATAATGCAACTGTTGACATTTTATTTTTAACAATAGTATTAATGAAAATTAAAGCTACCTACTCTTAACATATCTTACATAGCCACTGAATTTAGATTATTTGACCATTAAAAATTAAGACTTAAAATACTTATAAAATATTACTTTAAAATTGTTGAAATACCATTTATAGAATTGACTTATTTCAATTTTTATTGATTTTCCAGCATTAGCAACTAACACAAAAACATCAACTACAATTTTAGAGACCACGTATATCTAGCATTTAGAAATTTCAAGCCAAAAGTACACAAACCTGCTAAAAAAGCCACTTTTGCTACCTTACTAAGAGTCAGATTCTTGCAAATTTCTATAACACGAATCTGTACTTCGAAATTGCTCTTCAGCGATTTTGGAAATTTAGGCCAGGAACAGTTTTCAGATCTAAAAAAAATATAATTTTAACTTTAATATAAATAAATAAAAAATGTAGAATTTTATGAATATATCTACAATAAGTGTTCTATACTGTTGTTTGACACCAAATCCATAAATATTTTGATTTTTTTTTTTTTAATACTTTAATATAATAAGATCTACAATTATAATAGTTTGTCCTTAAGGGATTTTATCAACAATTAAAAATAATAAAATATAAATGTTGTCTTAATAAAATTTTACTGTTCATAATTATTAATAATTCAATACACATTTTTATTTTGGACATTTTAATTAGATTTTTATTTTTAATAATTTAAATTTGTTTTAATTTTAATTGTTTTTAGCAAAGATATTAAAACATCTGTTATTAACTGACCAATATACTAAATGGCTTATAAAAAATTTGTATATACAATAGAAATATATTCTCCAATGTTTTAAGCTAACTAGTATCTACATTACCTATAGATTATTTATTATATATAAATATATTTGTACTTGGTAAAACTTATGAAACTACATATTATCTTAAGAAGTTAAATTTAAAATGTTTCATTTCTATTTAAGACAAAATAAATTTTATATAAGTTATGAATCTTCAACTTACTTTGTGTACAAAAGTTGATTAATACTTATAAAAGTCAACAAAAGAAACTGATGATGAATGATTCTTTTGAAAAAAAAACCTACGTTAAAGTCGCGATTGTAGCACTACGAAGACTGTCAAACTGAACACGATAATGCGTTATTTATGCGCACGAAAGTGGTATTAATGCCGAGTTGTAGATCGTCGCACTGTATTCAATTATAAATCACATTGACTGTCAAACATGGTTCGTCAGCGGCGCTAGAACGCGACGTTCTACAAAATAAAATTACAAAATCACGCGACGACAATAACGTGTTCTGTTTGACAGAATCTGCAGTACTTTTAACTAGTAAAAATAGTAACAAGTAATAACAAATACCACTAACACCTAACAAATCAAAAATTAATAAATACTGACATGTCGGCCAGATAACGTTATGCGCTTATTCGTCGAATGTTCTTTAGAAGCTTAGACCTTAAATAGCTGATGCTGAAATATTAACGGAATATTTTTATAATAATAATTTACATTACCGTTCGGTTGATACTGATTTTTAAAACTTTTTTTTTCTTTGACAACAAAAACGAAAATTTAGCTGACACCACACTGTTTAAAGTAATGTAGTTTTTTTACTTTTTTGGTTATTCGATTGCGTAGTGCGGACAGGTGCAGCGCCAGAATAACAAAGAACATAAATACATGATTTTAACTATTCCAGGGCTTATGATTACGAGTGAAACTGGATGCGACGTTGCCAAATATTTTATTAAACAAAAATTTAGTTATATCATAATTATTTTTAATATTTAAATACAAATACTATAATACAATACTAATATAATTTAAAAAATAAATAAATATAAAATGTATAACTGTGACACGGTTGAAACACGAACACAACTGAAAGTAAATAGGTATAGTCATTAATCACATGCATGATTATAGTAGTAGGTTATATTCTTACATGTACAGGAATTTACAATAAAGATAATCATTTTTGATCCATTATGAAAGTATGATTTTAAAATATAACCAATTACTTCTTAATGATGGGAAGCTTATCTGGTATCTGCAGTAATAAGTAAAAATAATTGACTATAATCTACTACAGATTTACCACGAGTCTATACACTTGGCAACGTTGCTTAAAAGTAAAAATATTATAATGCGCGCGGAATGCATCGCGCTTGTGTAGGCATACAAGTGTGCAACCATACAAATCTAAATATTATGTAAAATGTAATATGCTATATGCGTGCACCTTATGCTTGGTTTGCAGCTGACAACGGACAACACTGTAGTTGGATAAGACGACACAAATTTGAAATTAACGTAGGTACTAGGTACTTTCTTAAAACGCGTGAATCGAAATAAAAAAACCCACTGAAATAGCTCGTTAAAAGGAGTCCAATCGTTGGCTCGTCGTTCGCAGTATTTGATTTTTCAAGGACGAGTTGTTATCAAGTTGGGCGGGACAGATGCACTGGAGAAAAATATTACACGATCATATCCTAAGAGTGCGGTAGCCGACTTTATTAAAGGTTAACCCATTTTTCTTGTGGCACATAAGAAAGCCGTTTTAAATACCTGTCGATTACACGACCTTGCATTACGGATCGTCTCTTTCGTCGACGACAAAAAACTATGTTAGGGCCGTTAGGAGGTTCTTGTTATCTGTGCGCAAAAATCTGGCCGTTATATTCATTAAGTAACTTATAACATCTAAGCTTACTTATTATAATGATACGCAAGAATATACAGTGGCTACAATATAAAAGTAGGTAGGCAATAAAGGAGTTGTACGATTTCCATGATGACAATAATTAATAGCACTCAGTATGCGTATGTAAGCACCGCATTTCGACTGATATCAGTACAACGATAAATTGTAGAAATTTGTAATCGATAATCAACACCCGCCAATGGTGACGACAATTATTATAAGGATTACTCGTATGGATTTACCATAAACGTTTATTTCAATTAAACTACTAAAATATAAATGAAAAATACTACTATTTTAATAGTGTTAAAATATATTTCAGTAATTTAAAGTTTAGGCGTGTACATTTTATAAACATTTTTGAATTTATCATTATTTACGATTTTCCTCTTGCGCCTTTTTGAATTGTTCAAATATTGTCAAAAAGTCGTCGTCGGCCCGGCTGGCCTTGACAATTGTGTGTCTAACGGGCACTGGAATTGGTTTCCAATGGTGAGGACTGCTTTCGTTGTTTACTATAGCCATAATCTTCTCGTCGGCGCCTTGCTGCTTGCATTGGTAAGACTTTTTTATGATCTCCTTTTCAATATCCATACGATTTTCGGTGAGCAGAGCCAAAGTCTTATTGTAACGACATAGTTCGTTCTATACATATTAATGTATAATTAACTAGATGCATAGTCCGACGAGAGTTTGCTAAGTGCGTTCCGAAATTACCCTGAATTAATGTTTTGAGTGCGCTCGGAATCAAATATACTCCGAGTGCGCCCCAAGAAAAAAAGGTCATATTTTTATGTAGCTTTAGTACGTCTCAGTTCGTTACCCAGGGTGCACCATGAAGTGTACTAGCCCTATGCAAAGAAAATATTTGGTTATTATTATTTATTTAATGATTTTGATTTACAGCCGCTTTTAAAATGTCAAGTGTACCTACTAATATTTTATAATATTTATATTTTCATATTATTTATTTATTTTTGACTGATTTTCCAATGCCCTAATTTTTACAAATTCGAATGAAGATATTCGGTCAGTTTGGTATTTTTCTTCATCATCTTCAATTAATTAAACTTTTTTTTTATTAGAAGTTTGAATTTTTTTTATATATTATAGGTATTTACTAAGAAAGTAATATTATTTATGAATAGAAGATATAGACTATAGTGCAAATGCAAACTTACATGAAGCAATATTATAAGTACCATTATAGTAAATATATTATCACTCTATCAGCGATAAAATTACGAACGCACTTGGAATACACCAAAATAATTAGCAATATTATCGCGAACACATATAGGTTATTAAAAATGTATAATTTAGATACCTAACGAGATACTCGGGAGACGCCCAGCGTGACATCGTTCGGAAAAAAAATGAACAAATACAAAATACGACGTTATAATGTATAGATGTATCTTGATTTTAGTGTATAAAAAGGGGAGAGGAAATCAAAATAGTGTACCTCGACTGTGAGTTAAATCGAGACAGGCAATTGGCCTAACTAGCTATGGCAGATTGGATATAGTAGTCGATATATTTTTGGATGAAGTTAGAACTACGCACTACGTCTTTCTGATATCTCAAAGAACATTCTTTTAAATTATCAAAAAAATTGTTGATTAACTTTTGAGTATAATAACATCAAATAAACATTTATTTTTAAATATTTTATTGTAAATCATATAAAACCTTTTTTATTTCTGTAATCAATGGCAAGATAATAATATAAACAAAAAATATTCGATTTTCGTGCGCCAAAACGGAATTCCTGCGTGAGCCACTTACACAACTTATATGGGTTGAAGAACGAAGCTCTATAAACATATCCCGATTTTTAAGGAGTATATTATCATTATGTATATAAAATTTGGTGCCAATCGGTTCAGTAGTTTCCGAAATTAGTAGATACTGACAAGTGCAGTCATTTTTATAAAATAAGATATACCTATCTATGAATAGAAATAAGTAAATAGTAATAAACGTTAATGCAAATATCTATATATCTATAGACAGGTAGGTACATACAGCATTTAACCTTTTGTCCTCAATAAGTATAATTATTTTATAATCTATCATAATATTCATATACGTAATGCATAATATAGCGATGTAACCGTTATTATTGATTGATACTAAACAATATATTGAAAAACGAAAAAAGAACTTGTCAAACGTATAGATTTCTACACGTCACGATTGACAGATAGCAAATCCCTTTCTTGACTTAACTAGAAAAAAATACGTCAATGTATATTACTATATAACATATCTATACCGATCCGAATCCCATAGGCATGTTTACGATTTAGTAATATTTAATAACAATAATCTGCACTGACTTCGAATTCGTCCATCATCTTTTCCAGGGTATCGCAATAATCGTTGGCGAGCAGAATTAATGATATCACGTTTGGATGGTGCAAGTCCAGTTCGGCGCACATGCGTTCCATACACTTCCGGGCCCACTGGTCGTCAACGCTGTCGTCGATCGCGTGCCCTTCTTCGTCCGTCTTGACTTCCTTTGCGTTTAAGGCGTTGACGCCCCTCTGCATCATAGCGTATATTGTGTCTTTGGACACTGTCACCGTTTGCACATTTTTTGCCACGTCATCCTCGTTCTTGTACAGCTGCAATCTCGACCATCGCGAACTGAGGGCGGTAGGCCAGAGATCCGCATCGATGTCTCCGTCGTTTTCACGTTCAGCGGGATCTGCTTTCAGCAGGAATAGCGCCAACATCCCAATCGGCACTATGATAGTCAGAAATATTGTTGACAATTCCACCAGCATAATAATGAGATTAATATCAATGTTTGCGTCCTATTATTCCAAAATTATAAACTACGATCCACGCCTATAGGTACCTTAGGTACCTCCTATTTGGTTTGTCTATATATTGTACTAATTGGAGATTTGGTCAGTAAAAATAAATGAAATATAGTCGTTTTAGCATTAGCACATGACATAGCAACGCGCACAGCAACTAAAACGCAACTTAGGTACGTAGTATGTACAATTGCTATGGTTTTTCTTCTACAGTGAACTTCGATAATACGATATATAGGTAGTATAATCTTTTACGCACCGATAAATTATTGATTATTATGGTTTTGTTTCAATGAAAATATACATGAAATGGAATCATTTGTGTATTGCTTTGAAATAATTAAAAATTAAGTTATAATATTACTTATTTTGACGTTTGGTATACTCAGGGGTAAACACTAAAAAAGAGAACACTTAGAACACTTTCATAACCATTAACCAATGACCTGAGAGCCGGCTGTTGAGACACGTTCACGTTGTGCCATTGGGCATAAGGCACGTCGATTGTGCTCACAGGTATTGATACACTATAAACAAAAAATATATTTTTTTAAGAGAATAGATGTGACTAAGTATAAAATAATAAAATGAGTATAAGTTTAAAGGCAATGATGTTAATTTATATCAAACGGCAATATTAAATAAAATATTATAAAGTTAAAAAGAAGTATATCATTTTTTGGGTCACAAAATGATAAATAAAATATATCATGATTAAATTTACAAGATATAAAATAGGTATTCGTATAATAGTTTTTTATTGTTGAAACATAGACAATTATTAAAATATATGCAAGAGGTTTACAGTTTTGTCCTGTTTGAGTTGACCGACAGAGAATTAACATAGAGCTTAAACTGTAATAGGTAGAGATTTGCAATCTTAAAAGTACTGTCATAATGCAAGTGCAAACTAAGGAAGGATTTTGAAAGATTCGCATTTTCAAGATATTATACAGGGATTTGTTGGCTCACGAAAAACGATTATTATTTTGTATATATAGGGTTGTCATTAGTTACAGAAATAAATTAGTTATTAAAATTGGATAAATTATAGACACACATTATAAACTTGGTCAAAACCACCCCATTTAATAATACGCTCAACACGTATTTGTACAGCTATAATCGTGTTTTATTTTTACCGATTACTACTGCTGTTCGGTAGTTTAAATAATTTAACACGTTATTTTATTAACACGTTGGTTAACGGTATTCATCTGAACAATAAATTTACAACATGGATATGACATGTAAATGTCTAATTTTATTTTACTACGTTAGTTATAAATTGTTACATATTTTTTATTTACTACTAAGTAATACGCGTTTCAATGTTACATATTTTTATTATTTGAATATATAATCACAATTCACAGGTACTCTTTTTTTCTTCAAATTTTGAAAATTATCCGATGTTTGAAGTATTAAATAACGAACTAAACAAAATTTTAATTATATACAAAATATGTCATTTTTAATGATTAACAAAGTACACAAAGACAGTTAGTTTATGTGTGTGCGAATAATAATAAATCATTTTGACCATAGTTAAGACATTTTATGGAAGCATGGCAAAACTATATGGGTTTTTTTATATACAAATTAATGGTTACATAATTAGATTTTCTAGATTGTAATTATGCAGAATATTTTGTTTTGTAAGTTTAATGAAGAATTATAGGGAGATTAGGGGATTAATTCATACGAATTAAATACGTCATTTTTAATAATAATAATAGTAATTTTTAAACGTGGCTATAGCGGCATATCTATTTATAATTTATGTATAAGTATTTTGTTTTGCTTTTTGTGAATTATATGATTTATATGAGTTACTTACTTAATAATTATTACGAGTATTTTATATAAGTAAAAAATTTTGCTAAAGGTTTTGATTTTAAATCCAAATAAATTCCAACAGTGCTAATGAATAAAAATATTTGATAATCAAATTATTGATATTATCAATATGTTCTTATTCTTTATGCCATATATCTATTAGTTTATGATTGATTTTTCTTTGTGCTGAATTGGCTAGATTCGTACAAGATGTTCATTTAATGTTTAATGTTTATCATATTTTCGATGATTGATATCAAAAATCTTTTCTCTTAAGTAGTCAGTAGGTATACGATTTAAATTTTGATTTCACCATAATAATTTCCAGTTTCATTTATTTAGAAAAAGAAATATATTATAATAGTTCTTAGTTCATCGTCACATATAATTGATCAGCTTCAGGAAGTGTTACGATTCATAGTGAAAAGTGAAAACAATACAAATTAAATTTTTACAAGGTTTTTTTATTGTCTCTTCCCTATATAAATCCTGGGTACGCCATTGAGTATTTGGTATATTATGTATTGGATAATTACCTGAAAAGGTTAGAGGAGAATAGGAGATGTTTTGTCTGTTTAACACATATTTATATTGTTATATAATTTTCGTTTTTATCTGTAAAATTAAAATAATCATAAATTAATTTAATTTTGTTCTTACGTCTAAACAATTTTGTGAACTAAAATATTTCTGTGAAGTAACTATTGAATTTTTAATTAATATAATTTGTAGCAGTTTTTTGAATTTATGCATATTTGAATGAAATTCATGAAAATATATAAATATAAAATTATGTTTACCTGAATAAAACAATTTTATCATTATTATTTATATTTTTTTTTTTCATTCAAATGTATACTCGCGTTCAAAAGCGATCGTCTGATCGTCTGAATATCGGGTCCATTTGTCTCTGTTCGATTTTCGATTAAACCCCTAAAAAAACGCCAGTAAAGCGTGTTCTCGACAACACTATATTGTACTACTATGGCTATAATGTATTGCTTTGAATGTCAAAAGTATATGTTTTTTTATATTTCACGCAATATAATTTTATTTCAAGAAATAGTCGAGTTTATTTTGACGGAATTGGTTTTAAAATTTAAAAAAAAGTAAATGTTTGTCAAGTTTTTTTGCCCACATAACGGTTTTTTAACTCATATAGTACAAAGAACATTTCACGATCCACCGTTTCCACCATATTACGTCTATCATGTTTCTTCTTGTTAATTTCTTGTGTATTAGTTTAAAATTTTATCGTTTACGTACATTACAAATTTTTCCAATTTTAGGCCCTCTTGTTTACTTAGGAGTTCGATATAGGTGTTTTTTATGTATTATATATACTCTCCGTCTCCCCTGAAAACTTCAATACGCATATAACCTACGTTACAGTGTGTTGTTTAAACAAGAGTAAATATTAGTGCAAGTAAAACGATAATAATTGATTAGAGTGTACGTATAACAATACGTTTTGCGCATTTAGAGCGCCCTTAATAGAATTTCCAGGAATTTGTTGTAGTTTTGATTGATTTATTTAAATGTCATAAGAAAACATAAAATATAGTCATTATTTTGTTAGTCGACGTTTAAACAACCACTTTCTACTGCAAAGTTTCAATTATAGATTTTTTGATGGAAAAATTAACAAAGATTTAAATTTTACAATTATAATAAATTTAATTGTGTTTTCATAAAATAATTAATGTACCTATAACAAGTAGGTACAGTTCCCACGACGCCACACATTGGTTTTTTGTATGATTATACAATTTAGTATATCGTATAGGTTTAAAGTTAGATAGGTTTTGTGAAAAAAGTCTGTTTTGTGTTAATCACTAATAATGCAACATTTGATGTGGACACATAGAATACTTATACGCTCACAATAGACAAACTTTATTTGTATAACGGAACGATAATTTATCTACGATGAGAAGCGTTTCTATTTTTTTTAATTTTACATTGACACGGTATGGTCATATTTGAATTATATAATTATGATATTATATTTAAGCCCTTCTTAAACGACATTTACTATATTGTAATATACTTACTGCTATTTATAATTCACTATATCTAATAACTTGGAGTGTTTGGACACTGGAGTTTCTATATACATATTAATCATTAAAAATTAACTAGTTGAGGAATTGTGATGGTAATTATATTATAATAGTCGTTATAATTGAATGTGTCCTATTTTTACATTATATTTATTAGCGTGGAAAGTAACTGCTCACAATAATTATTATGTTATAATATTAATTATTACAGATATCTATAATAATAATAATTGAAAAATTTTAATTTAATTAATCTGAATTTTCAATTAATAATTGAATACATTTAAATAGTTACAGACATTATGAAGCAATCGAGTAGAAGGTAGTTGAGAATATTTTCTAGTCTAAATCCAAGCACACTAACTTAAAATATAATATATTAATTCATGTTCATTTTATAACGTTATAATAATATATTCTACAGACTATTATAATTTATTGTATGCTATAGGTACAGATAGCTCAAATATCGCGTGAAAAGAGATTATAATGGATAACAATTTAATTGATCTGTTCTTGTTATCAAAAAAAAAAAAAAAAAAAATGATCACAGATACGAGTATAATTATTTCATTTTTTTTTTTTTTTAAATACATTTTCATTAGACGGCGTTAAAGATAGGCAAATCAGGTATGCGAACGTTGTGGGTTCATTTTTTAGTATCGTTACTATAAAAGTATAATATTATTATTGATTTATTTAATACATTTCAAATTCAAATAAACCAGAATAATTTATGACTAAAATAAGTGATAATACTGATAACGTTTATACATATTTTTATGAAACCTATATTTTAAACGTTAAAAGTTTATAACCATTATACATTTAATTGGAATATCTATTTAGTGTTTTTTTTAAATTCAGATCAATAACGATATATCTTTTTTAAATCATACAATCACTGTATTTAAATTACTATTTATCATTTTAATTAATTATTGCATGTTGTTTTTAAAATAAATAAATAATGTTGGACGTAATTTGTAATTTATAGTTTATTTAAACAACATTTTGATCTCTATATATTCCACAAATAATTTACAATATTTAAATTTTTCA